TTCTCTTAGTGTTGTTTCATTCCTGGAGATCCTTTTATCTCTCTCTATGTCAGCTTCTATACGTTCCTGTTCTCTGGCTTCTATTCCTTCAATGGCCTCTTGCATCTTATCCATTCTGCTTATAAATCCTTCCAGGGTTTGTTTCACTTCTGTGATCTCCTTCCTGACATCTGTGATCTCCCTCCGGACTTCATCCCATTGCTCTTGCATTTTTCTCTGCATCTCATCCCATTGCTCTTGCATCTTTCTCTGCATCTCCATCAGCGTGTTCATGATTTTTATTTTGAATTCTTTTTCAGGAAGACTGGTTAGGTCTGTCTCCTTCTTAGGTGTTGTCTCTGTGATCTTTGTCTGCCTGTAGTTTTGCCTTTTCATGGTGATAGAGATAGTTTGCAGAGCTGGTACGAGTGACAGCTGGAAGAGCTTTCCTTCTTGTTGGTTTGTAGCCCTCGTCTCCTGGGAGAATAGCGACTCTCAATACAGGTAGGTCATGGGGAAGGCAGCACAGCACGGAGAAGGCAAGCTGTGTATTTTCTTTATATATCCTGAATACACACTTCTTATCAGATATATGATTTCAAATATTTTCTCCCAGTCTGTGTCTTCCACTTTTTTTGATGGTGTCCCTTTTTAATTTTAATGAAGTCCAGTTTATTTTTTTCTTTGATAGCTGGTACTTTTGGTATCTTATCTGAAAACTTATTTTCTACTCCAAGGTCACAAAGATTTACTCCTATATTTCCCTTCTAAGAGTTTTATAGTTTTCACTCTTACATTTATGCATTTGGTCCATTACAAATTAATTTTTTAATACAGTGTGAGGAAGGCATCCAACTTCATTCTTTTACATGTGAATGTTCAGCTACCACCCATTAGTTGTGGAGTTTTCACTCTGTGCTAGGTGCTATTCTAGATTCTGGGGAAACAGAGATTAGAACAGAGCTTTCACCCCTCAGAGAGCTTACCATTATAGTGGGGAATCACATATAATCAGAAAACAACAGCATGATGAAATAATCTGTTTATGATGCCTATCACTGTGCCTGACCCTTAGAGTGTGTATAGCAAATAGTAGCTGCTATAATAATAGCTGTTATTGTTATTATAAATGCCAATAGAGAGGTATGTACAAAGTGCTGTGGCTGGAGAGAGTGACTGACTTCTCCATGTCTCAAGATTGGCTTCACTTGGGGCCACCCCCAGCACTTCTGGGACCCAGGAAAATGAGGGGTACAGTAGATAGATCCCTTAAGGCCAACCTTTTTGAGAGAGGAAGGACCTCAGGTATGTGTGTCATGGGAACAGCTGGATTTCTTGTCCCTGTGAGTGTCAGCTCAGAACACGGTTATGTGATTGCTGATTCCTGTTGCAGTCTTTGCCCAAGGAAGGCCTTCCTTCATTTGTATGGAGACCTCTACAGGCACTTGAGGCAATCATAAAGGCTGTCTGTGAATTATAAAGGATTTCTAAACAGATTGCATAAATATATTGTCTTGACTATTATATAATTAGGACTTAAAATCTCTATTCTCTGGTGATCACAGTGTGTCCTCAAATGGACCATATATGGACTGATGATGGATTTTCATATGTAAGTTATGGCACTTTTTATAAAATATCATAAGATGTTAATTTATTTAATTCCATCATATGCACTGATCTCCCAGTGTCAGGAATTTTGGCTGTCTTATGTATATTCTGCACCCTATATCACAAAAATTAACCAATTATAGAAAATAATTTTAGGAAATTACTTTTCCAAGTTTTTCCCATTATACTAGTCATTTGTTGTCTACTAGCACATGTTAGCAGAAGAGAGAACAGGTACCACAAATTTAAGAAAAATGTGTTGGAAAAAACTTTAAATTGAGTACATTCTAAGAATTAGCATAATCTAATTGCAGCTGCAGAACACTTCAGTCCATTTGGGCAGGATGCAGGTGTTTCAAAGAAGGATAATTTTAGAACCACTGATTCACAATTTAAATTTTAATTTGAACACATTATATTTTATTAAAAATAAAGGTTTTAATGTCTGGTTTTAATATCATCTGCTATATCAACTATGGATTTTTATTCAGTCTTAGTTCAGTTCATCAGACATTTTTTGGCTGCCTGTTGTATGAAGGGTATCCTATCTAAGGGTAGGTCCTGAAGGAGCTTAAGATTTGAGGGAGAAACATAGTCTGATAGAGGACACACACAGTGGTAGTTATGAGAAGCAGCAAATTGTGATGAGTTCTCTAATGGGGTTGTCAAGGGCTTAGAAACATAGTCAAGGAAAGGTGGTTAGGATTCACAGTGGGGCAGATCCAGGAGAGCTTTCTAGAGGAGCTTGCACCTGAGCTGGAAGTTGAAGGGCCTATGTAGACAGACTGGGAGAAGGAAACCGTGTGAGTGAAGATTTAGAAAGTGGACATGGAGGCAGTTGAGGAAGTGGAGGTAACCTGGTGCATTTGGAGTATAGAATGATTAGAGGATGTAGCCGGGCATGCAGTTAGAAAGATAGGAAAGAGCCACATTGTGCAGTCTTGATAATACCAAATGAATGAGTCTGGATTTGATTCTGCACATACTAGAGAGCCATGGAGGATTTTTGAGCAGGACAGTGGCAAGATCAGATGAGTACGGGAGTAAGTCAAAGAGTAGGTTGAAGGTGGGGAAGAAATTAGAGATGATTCTTGAGAGATACAAATGCCATCTTTTCAATTAAAAATCCTAATAGGTAGCTATCTTGTAATTTGAGGTATTTGATACAGTTCATGTGTTTACGATTCTATTGTTAATTATGCCTTCAGCAAACTGACAACTCTTCTTATCTGATATTTTTAGCAATGGCCAAGCTATAAAGGGTAACACTGATAAATCATGAACTTCCTTTCTTTTTGGCAAGAATAACATTGGAGTCAGTACCCTAGATTTTCACCTTAAATGTCTCTTAGCCAAGGAAAAGAACCACCAGTCTGCATTTTGGAAACAGGACCGAGAAATGTGTCTTATCAGTAGATGAAAATAAATAAACCAAAGCCAAACAGGACTCTCAGTCCCTAGGTTGGGACTGAACTCAGTTACCTGGGTTCACAATCCAGCTCTGCCATTTACTAGTAGTAACTTTAGGCATGATATTTAACCAGTCTGTGCTTTAGTTCTTTAATTTGTAAAATGGGGATAGTAATAGTAGTGGACTTGGGTTGTTATGAAGATAAAATGAATCAGTACATGTAAAGTACTCCCAATAGTGCCTGGCATACAGTTAGAGCTCAATAAATGTTAACTTTTATTATTCAGTTGTTGGCAATAAAAATCAACTCATTGCCTAAGACATAGTTTACAAAGTACTTTCACATATTCAGTAGGTCATTTGAGCTCTATAGTCACCCTACGGGTACTGGTTGTCCTAGTTACTCTTGCTGTTATTAACAAAACACTCCAAAACTTAGAAGCATAAAACAACAACCATTCTATTATGTTCACAAATTCTGTGAGTCAGGAATTCAAACCAGATAGGTGAAAATTGCTTCTCTCTGCTTCTCTGTGTCTGTGCCCAGCTGGAGAGCCTTGAGTGGATGGGGCTGGGTCAGCTGAGAGGGCAGGCCCACTGCCAGGACTTCTTTGCTAACCTGTCTGGCACTTTGGTGGGATGGCTGGAAAGCCAGGCTCAGCTGCAACTGTCAGCTAAGCACCCTCATGTGACATGTTCACTGTGGGGGCCTCAGGAAAGTCATCAGACTTCTTAGAGTGTTTCAGCAGCAGAAGCTACTGGCCTTTCCTTGGCAGTCTCATAGCCAGTGCTTCCTTGTTCTCGACTGGCTGAAGCAGTCACAAGCCCACCCAGACTCGAGGAAAGGGAAGATAGACCACACCTCTGATGGAAGTTGTAACAAAGAATTCGGGAGCCCTCTCTTAAAATCATCCTATGGCATTGTTCTCTACTTCTAAATGAGAAGGCTGAGGCTCAGTAAGGGTGAAATGCTTTTCCCAGGGTCAGTTACACAGAGAGTAACTGGAATGGTTAAAGGATGGGGGATGGGGAAAGTCTGGAGAAGGAAAAAGGCTTCTAATCTTTTTCTGATCACAAATTCTTGTTCTTTAAATCAGATTACTCATCCTCCTTCAGCTTAGATATACTCACTGTAGAGATATACTGCCTGAGAGTCTCAGCTCCAGTGGGTCAGATTCAATCTGGATTCAGTGAGACCAAATAACAACAGAACATTGGGGCTAAAAGGGTTTATACCAGGCTTCATTCTCGTGGTGGCAGGTCAAGCACTAGAATCACATCTGCAGCTGACAAGTCTGCAATCTGTCTCTGTCTCTACCGCCTGGGAGAGCACTGGTGGAGCTCTTTACATAACAACACAGACAATGATGGCTCATTGCCGACAGGTGCATAAGCATGTGCCTATGTGATAGGCCAGTTATCAGTGCACATGTGCAGTAGGCAAGTAGATTAGCATCAGGTGAGCATCCTGGTCATAGGCCCTTCCATTTTCCCTACAGAGAGCAACTTTGTATAATTTTTTCAAATAGAAACGTCTCTGAAAATGTCCCAGATGCTTAACTTCGACTTCATTTGTCCTCTAGGAAAATCTCACCTGGCCATTGTCCAGCGGGTGAATAATGAGGGAGAAGGGGACCCCTTCTATGAAGTGATGGGCATTGTCACACTGGAGGACATCATAGAGGAGATCATCAAGTCAGAGATCCTGGACGAAACTGACCTCTACAGTAAGTACATGGCCTTGGCTACTGTCCAAGGTCATCTTATTTTCCTCTGAGTCTCAGCTGGCTTAGTATGATATACAGTATGAGAGGGAGTCAAGACAGGCCCCATACATTGCTGTGTGTCAGCCTCATCATGCCAGGTGCTGGCACAGCAAGATACCCTGGCTCGAACCACCCCAAGTCACTGAACATGCTAGCTAAATGTTTATCAGGAGGGAGCTTTTAGGGCCTGAGCCAAGCAAAGGAGACCTCTGGGCCTTTGGCTGGAGAAGGAACTAGCGCAAACCAAGTGTACCTTGGCTGGCTGTTCGGCCCTTAGTTCTGTCCCCTGTGCTGTCCTGTTTTTGTCTTCATCCACCTAGACACAGGCCCCAGTACTCCCTGGGGTTCAGCACATGATTGACTCACACCACAGCATCAGCGTGCACTGAAAACTGTCACAAGATTGCCCACCTGCAGCCTAAGCCAAAACCTTAAATAGCCCCTCCTCAGACACTGCTCCTGTCCCAAATGCTTCTTCAGCCCGACCGCCTGGTCTCTCCTCTCTCTTTCCCTCCCCAGTCCCGGCTCTGCTCCCTTCTTTCTGGTCTCCTCACCCTCCTATTCACTCACTCTCAGGGACAGTGTGGACTACTGTATGCAGAGAGTGACTGCTTTTGGTTACTGGTCCTTACCAAAGCTTTGCCTGTGGACATTACAAAGGCTTGTTTTGCCTCTGGGATGGGAGTGTTATCTAAATCCATGGGAGTCCTGGGCTAAGAAGTGTTTCCTCCTTCTGAATTTCACCTTATGGGATAGCAATCCCTTTTCCTCCCCTCAGATAACCTGTTCTAGACCCCAGTCCTTAGTTTCCTAGAAGCAGCCCTTCCGAAAATAGCTCCCAGGAGAAAAAGCTTTGGTACTGTAAGACAGTGAGTGGTGCAGAATGAGCGCCTTCTCCTTGAACTAAGATGAGATCAAACCTAAAAGCTGGGCCAGGCCTCAATATAATAACAGGAGTGTCACAGTATCTGATATTGCTCTGGTACCTTGCCCAGGCCTGTCCTTCAAACAAGGATTGACCACCCCCTCCCCCATCCCCTTCTCCCTTCTCCACCTCTGCCCACCTTTCTTGATTTAGAATTTCCAAGTGTCTCAACAGATACACTGGTAAAGACATTCATACTAAAGTGTCAGTGGCTGATTATAGTTTAAATGAATAAGTTCCTCCTGGGGCATTTGTTTTAACAAGCTTAATGCTCCAAACACTCACTATTAAAATAAAAGAAATGAAGAGGGAGATCAGAGGACTGATTCTCCAATGACGAAACCTTAAGTGGCATTCTGAGGGAGGAGGAAGAGGGCATATTTAGGTAGATGTGTCATGCAAATCAGAAGGTCGCTCACCAATGAGAACAAAAGAACTTGTCCAATACATGTATTTGCTGCTTTCTTACTGACCAATCCTCTTTCTAAAGAAGAGGGTTAGGGTTTTCCCACCCTTATAAGTAAACTTCTGGCATGATTTCTAAAGTGCTGTGAGAAAGCCGAGGAGCCAGGAATGCTGTTTCTTCTCAGTTGACCCTGACTCACAGGACAGCTGGGTCTGATCTCCCTGGTGTTGCCACCCAAGCGAAAGGAGTGTGAAAGCAGGGGCCAGAGTCCGAGGCAGGGCCCCAGGAGGGCTGCACGCTGGAATGGCACACTCTGCCTTCTAGCAGAAAACCCAGACAGAATGGCTGAAGTGAGCTCTGGAAGGACAGGGCGAGAACAGGGGGGCCAGGTTCTGGGGCCCTGGTTCCCTCCCTGTCCCTGGGGTTCATTCTCTTTGATTTCCACTGCATCTGCTCAGCCCTGGGAAAGAGATGTAATGTCACCTACAGTTGACACTTTGCAGAAATTCATTTGGTCCCAAAGGACTTATCTGTCCCTTGTGACTCTGGGAAAACCTCCAAAAACCAACAGTGATTCTGAAATAGCCGCAATCTGTCCTCTGTGATCCCGCAGCTGACAATCGGAAAAAGCAGAGGGTCCCACACCGGGAGAGGAAGCGGCATGACTTCTCCTTGTTTAAGCTTTCTGACTCGGAGATAAGGGTGAAGATCTCTCCGCAGCTCCTGCTGGCCACCCACCGCTTCATGGCCACAGGTATGACTGTGCCCACCTGCGTCCCCACCCCAGGCAGGATGAGCAGCATCTGCAGGGTGGGGCCCAGGCACCAATCATTTTTAATATCTTGCAACCTTATTCTAATGTGCAGCCAGGACTGAGAGCCACTACTCCTGGAGAGGAAGTTGCCTTAGGGAGGATGACAGGATGCTACATACTGTCATTTTCAGCCCCAGGCCTCATCTTCTAGTGAGGAAGTGATTACAACTCAACTCTGCTTTTCTCTCGTGTGCTCAAGAAAAGAGCTAAAGAAACCACTGATGTACTTTTCCCTTCCTCTACTTGCTTCCTGGCAGGAGCTTAAGGCCAACCTCCATCCTGTTGGAATTGGGGTGCTCCAGAGGGTTTGTCTACCCAGCACCAAGGCCCTGGGGCCCAGTACCCTCCAGGGACCACATAGGCCTGTGAGCCCAAGTTCTTAAAATATAGAAGTGGATTGTGAATCTTGGAATCTTTAGGGCAAAAAAGTGAGAGGACCCTGAGATAAATTTCTCCTCCTTATACAGCAGGTAAAATTTGTCTTTGAACCTGCTAACCTTCTATTCCACCCCTACTTAATGTGCACACCTAGAATGATCACACCCATTACTAAGTTCAATACTTAATTAATCCAACATATATTTACCAACTATGTAATGAGTACTAGTGCTGGTCCATGTGCTAAAAACTAGAAAATTTTAAGTTGGAGCTGCTTTAGAGTTTCCACATACTATCTAGTTCTGAATACAGATTTCTTATAACTACTGTCTGATTTCCCAGAGCAAACAGCTGTATCTATTAAAATTATATGATATAATGTATTAAAATAAAATAAATCATAACATAGCATAATATACAATATACCTGTTAACATATAAATGTAATATAGAAATGCCTCATATTATTGAGAAATTGTCATTTTAATTAACTATTAATTTGGAATTACAGTTCATTCAACAGACAAGTGTCATACAAATAAGTCAGGTGAAATTCTCTGTATTTCATTTGATTAATGCATAGCATTAAAACCTCTGTTGTTCACATGGCTTACTTATCCACACCCAACTCTTTTATTTTTTAACCACTTTATTGAAGTATGATTGACATACAAAAAGTGGTACATATTTAGTGCATACGACCTGATGAGTTTGGAGATAAGCATACACCTATGAAACCATCACCATAATCTATGCCATAAACATGTCTGTGACCTCCAAAACTTTCCTCCTACTCTATTATTATTTGTGTGTATGTCATAAGATCTACCGTCTTACAAATTTTTAAGACTACAATGCAGTATTGTTAACTATAAGCACTGTGCTTTGTATGCGGATCACTAGGATTTATTCATCTGGCACCTGAAACTTTGTACCCTTTGACTAATACTTCCCCTCCCTTCCCCTCCCACCAGCTGTGGACAACCATTCTATGCTTTTCTACGACTTTGACTGTTTTTTATTCCATCCTGTAAGTGGTGTCATGGAGTATTTGTCCTTCTGTGTCTGGCTTATTTCACTTAGTGTCATGTCCTCCAAGTTCTTCCATGTTTTCAAAAATGGCAAGCTTGCCCTCTTGTTTAAGTCCATGAACAACCTTAAATAAAATCAAGGAGAAAATTAATCATGAAACAGATATTTCCAAAATGATGACCTGTTTCTCCTGATGGACCAGTGTGGGGACACACAACCGCAGAGGGCATGGGGAAGACCTGAGTCGCACATTTGGGTCTAAGACCCCTCACACCCAAGGGAACGGTAGGAGCCCTGCCAGCCTGGTGTCCAGGAGCAGGCATGCAGGTGGCTATGGACTCATGCCCTCGTTACACCCACCCTGACACCTGCCAGCTGCCAACTGCTCCTGCCTCCCCCTCTCCCCTAGAAGTGGAGCCCTTTAAGTCCCTGTACCTTTCGGAGAAGATCCTGCTCCGACTCCTGAAACATCCCAACGTGATCCAGGAGCTGAAGTTTGATGAGAAGAACAAGAAGGCCCCTGAACACTACCTCTACCAGCGCAGCCGCCCCGTGGACTACTTCATGCTGCTTCTCCAGGTGAGTGGAAGATGTACAGACCCTCTAAGGGCATGATGAGGGCATCTCCAGGCTGGAGACAAATGGCCGTGCCTCCTCAGTGCTGGGTTCCAGGTCTCAGCTTGCTGTGGGCATTTCGCCCATAACCCACAGAAGAGTGTGACTGGTGTCCTGGGACTAGTGGGCTCTTGATGACATCCTGTCTGACCGCTCAGCGATGGTTGTGGTGGGGCAGGGTGGGTACTTCTCTAGCAGAGGGGTTCTGTGAACTCCCAAAGCTATTGTCCTTCCAAATCCCTAACACCTCCTTCTGTCTGCTTAGACATCCCAGAAATGGAACTGTCCACCTCTTCCCAAACTTCAGATACTTCTGGTTTAAAGTCCTCCCCTCTTTCAAGCTGAACTCTCACCGTCTCTGACTTCCACGCACTTGTCCCAGCTCTGTTCCCTGGAGGTACACAGGACACATCCGTTCTTTCTGCTACCTTTCAGCCTTGGCAGTCACTTGAATCATCTCCTCCTCAGGAGGACCAGAAAGGAAATTAATGAACGAGTGAAAGAGGTGCAGCATCTTCCCCGTGCTATCATAAGTACAAATACCTTCTTCTCTGGGTGCCTGGACAGGCCTGTCCATAAATAAGTGTCAGGCAAGGTCCCACTTTGTGACCGTGCTGGCATCCTGGCCCGGCTCCACCATTAGCGCTGTTACTAGACCCCATCTCTTCCCAACAGAAACATACAAACCCTAAGTATAGTGATTGTCTTTAAATCTTAATTTAGCTCAGATTAACCTAGAATGGTTAAGAGGGCCCACCCACAGCCTATCGGCTCTGGCGCTATAATGTGCCCCACACCCATCCTGCCAAACAGCCTCAGTAAATGACCTCCCTTCTCCAAAAATGGAGTCACTTTCTTCACCGTTGGAAATCAAGAAGAGTCCTGTGCTTACACTGTTTATATAAATGAGCCAATACAATCCACTGTCTTATGCTTAATATGAACTTAACCAATTTTAAATAAATGTTGGAGGGAGTGAAATGTAGAAGTAAGAATGTAGTTTCAGAAATTGGAAAGATCTGGCTTTAAATTCCCAATACTGCCACTTCTTAACTCATCTTGACCAAGTTATTTAATCTCTCTGAGCCTCAACATTGATTCATCTGTACCCTGGGGATAAAAGCAGTATGGGCCCCCATAGGGTTGTAGGACCAACTGAATGAGAATCCACACAGTGCACATGATAGTTTCCGGCCCTTAGACACACACTATAGGTGACACATTAGTCATCATCATTATTATTGGCAATGAATTAAACAAGCTTCACGCAGAATCAGATTTTATCTCAACCAGATTTAGATATGGTCCAATCTCAGACTAGACCAGTGGGGCAGTTTGCAGGGCCCTGGATGGGTGGTGCCTGGACGTGCATCCTGGAAGGGCCATTAGAGTACACAAGGAGAGCGTGGCCACTCATGAGAGGATGCTGCTTTATAGCCTAAGCAGTTAATTTATAGGAAAAGGCTACTGAAGTTGGAGTTGCTCTTTCTGAAACGTAAGTCTCGACTGAATTCACACTCCCTGTGATAAGAACTTAAGTCTACTTGTTACCCAGACAGAAGTGCTTAGCACTGTAGTCAGTAATAGAACTGGAAGTGCTAGTACACACCCTTAATACACTTCCCTCTTTCTCCAGGGTAGAGTGGAGGTGGAGGTTGGTAAGGAAGGCCTTCGCTTCGAGAATGGAGCTTTCACCTACTATGGTGCCCCAGCCATCATGACCACTGCCTGCTCAGGTATTCTAGTTCCCAAGCCATAGCTTATTGGGGAAGCAATGAAATAGTGTGAAAAATAACATCTAAGTCCAAGTCTTGACTCTTGTTAGGAACCCTGGACAAGCGATTTAACTGCCTGGGCTTCAGAGGACTTTCCTCCTCTGTAAAATAAGAATCATTTTTCATTCAGAGAATTTGCTTGTGGAAGTACATCGTAGACTGTAACATTATCAAGTGTTAGGGATGGATAGTCAATCAGGATGGATAACCCTGGTTTTCTCAGGGTTAATCAGTGCTGAGGGTGGGGTAAGAGATGAGGAATTTCCAAAGAAAGGTGTGTTTTCTGAATTGCCTCTGAAACACACTGCATCCTTCTATCCTTAGATAATGACGTACGGAAGGTTGGAAGTCTGGCTGGATCCTCTGTCTTTCGTATGTATCTCTCAAACCCCTCCCCCACCCTCCCCATCAGTCCACCTCAGCCCACTCTGGGGACCTGGACCAAGCCTGTTGAGCCTGGGCTGGGGCTAACACAAACACTGGCAGCCTCTTTGTAATGCTCTGCCAGGAACACTGCCTCCTGCCAGGTACCCACAGTCCATGGGGGCTTAGTTTCGATGTGTCTGGAATGTTTTCAGCTGCTTCCCTGCTCATGTGCAAGTGACAAATATGGGAGGGAGGTTGTGAGGGAGGCACCATTTATTTTCACCTGCCAGGGAATGTAGGCTGGTGATTTGTCTGCTCTAGTGGAGGTTCCGCCTTTCCTTCTCTGCTGTGGTACTCACGCACTGGCTTTACTTGGACCCCTAACACGCTATTACTGTTCTGTGGACCTAGTAAGAAGTGACTGCAAGGTCTTAGGTTGTAAGTCCCAGGCTGCTGCAATATGTTGCTTATCTGCTTCTCTTTCCTTGTTCAGCACACCTCAGCTAGTGGAGAGGTATGTCTGCCAGCTGGCTGTGCATGCTGCTGGGGGAAGGGGCCTAGCACAAGGCTGATGGCTGGTTTGCTCTGCCCCTTCTATGCTCTGCCTTCTCGTTGTTTCCTGCCTAGAGTTATTGCACTTGTGTTTGGAAGGCATGGTGTTTATTGTGATGCAAATGTGATCTAGAAATAATTATTTTTCTAGATTTCTTTTTGATTCCCTGGTCTGGATTTTGCATTGCTTTCAGCTGTTAGCATTTACAGGGGCTATTCAAGCCAAGTGGGGTGTTTTTACTCATCATAAAAAGATTTTACATAGTGCCTTGTATTGGGACTTATCAGAGGATCCCAAAGCTTGGTATCACAATCCCTGGCACAGGAAAGGTAGTTACCATTTTGATACAGAGAAACTAAAGAAAGGACTTGCTCCAAATCACCCAGGAAGTTGGAGACATACCCAGATGCATTCTGGTGTCCTGACCACTTCACACAGCTCAATGAAATACAGATTAGAGATCTATCATGTTCCAGAATGCAATTCTACATGGGAATATTGGAACAAGTAAATTGTTCCAGGGTAATTTTGCATCCTAGCCCAGCAGAGGGCTAAAATGAAGTTGAGGCCCTTACCCAGATGCAAGGGGTGGCAAAATGTGAATTGAAGGCCTGTAAAATAAAAAACCCTAGTATATTATTGTACTTACCTAAGCCAAGAAATCTCAATCAAGGTTGGTGAAGGAAGCATTAGTACTCAGAACAAGAACTCCAGATGGGTGAGGGCTGGCCTCAAGACCAGGTAAACCTTGGTTCTCTAAAGGACATTTCCATCCATCACATTAGGATTGTTCAAGGTGGAGTCATCCCTAGGATTCTAAATGTTACCAAAACACATTGGCCCCATTCTGGTTCTTCCAGAAGATCAAAAGATGTGGAACTTCAGGGGGGGGAAAAGAGCTACATAAGTCTTCCTGACCTACCTAATTTAGATGACCTTCTGTCTTTCAAAAAAAATTATTTTAAAAGTAATGGGGAAATGCTATCTGGTTTCTTCCGTTCCTGCCCTCCTGTCTCTAGTTATTTCTGTCAAAATCCTTCCATTTTATCAGTAAGACAGGAGTAAACTTCCAACATTGATCTCTCCTACAAAACTGGTTAACTAAAGGAAGCATTAAACTCTTTCCTTCCCCATACTTCTAAGCATCTTTCCAAACCTCCAGGGAGAAACAGAAATTGAATTAGCCAGTATGGATCTGGAGACATTTTCCATCCACTCCAAACCCTCCCCACTGAGTAAAGTGTGAAATAACTGCAAAAGCTGTGACACCCCCCCAGTTGTCCCAGGCATGCTCTTGGCCCAGGGTCCAGCCACCCAGCATCTTTCAGTGGCCAAGAACCTCAGCCTGTAGGTCAAAGGAAGGCTCAAGGCTGAGCCACAAGGCAGTAAACTTGTAGGGACTTGGTCTAGTAAACTACCCCATCCTTGAAGTCAGCCTGTAACTTTGTCAGCCTTTCGGGGTACTAAATGAGATGAGGAGTTTGCAGAACACTGGCCCTGTGCCTCCAAGTCAGACTTGAGGTTACAAGTAAGTCACTCTGGTTTCCCTGTGCAGGGCCATGGGAACACAGCCAGCACTGTCTCCTCCATCTTGGTTCTGATTGCCAGGGAATCCGAGAGGACCATGGTGAGCCTGGCACTGGAGGAAGTGGGCCCAAGCTCACGGTAGACAGAACAGATGTCCACAGGGGTGTGCAGGAGGGGAGAGAGCAGTCTCCTATCTGTTCAGCATAGTAGGCATTTAATTTTCAGCCCAGGAAGCCCTAGTATTCTTCTTGAGACTATGGAGTTTCCTATTCCAGTATGTCTCAGATTAGGGGGCCCACTCAAATATTCTTTGACATCTGCTGTCAGAGTAAATGATTGCCAGGTAGGTATAAAGCTCTTTTTTCCTGCCACCCACTCCCCTGTGTGTATAGGTGATTTCAGTAAAATCTGGTGCAGCACAAGACTGCAGACACTGCCTACTTTAATGTGCTGTCTCCTGCAGACTGACTTCATTTAGCTCTTGGACGGGATTCAGGATGATCAGATAAGAGAGCTGAAGACAGAGTGCCATACAGAAACACGCCATCATCAGGGTCAAGACAGGAAAGGACTGGAGTATTGCTGGACAGTCCACCTGACCAAGGACCCAAGTGATAGCCAGCACCATGTTGGACTCTGTGGGGAAGGAGAGAGAAGGAAATGGGGATAGGAAGAGAAGTGCTTTGCTAGGACGTGACCATGAGTTCATTTATCAAGCTGGTTCACAATAAGATTGCTAGAAGTCCTGCCTTCCTCTGTCCCAAGCTGTAAGCAATGCACAGACGCCACAGCACTGTGACCACAGAGGGAGCTCCTAGGAGTCTGAGGCAGGATGCCTCAGCAGAAGCATGCACTTTGCTGTGGGCAAACACAGAGCACAGAGCAGGCACCTGTGGCAGCTGGGAGAGCTCGGGGGGATTGGTGCTGGGCTGGCAGCACACTTGCTCAGAGCAGATGCTGCAGACACACGCTCCCCCAGGCCACTGCCTGCTCAGGCATTGGCAGATCTGATTCCCTCTAAGATCACCGTGTGTCTTTTCAGAAGACCTTCTGCAACATTTATTTTATTTTCCTCTTTCTGGGCAGTAACTTTGTAAAAGGATGCGATTTCCATTTTTTCAGAGGCAAGATTCCCTTTGGAAAAGAAATGTGATGTTGTGAAGATCCAGAAACAGACTGTCTCACCCACTTTGCTCTTTGTCTCTCTCCTTTGTGTTTATCTTCCCTTCGCGACTCACAAATCCTTGGCCCTTGCCTCTTTAGTGCCCGTCTCTGTGTCTCGTACCTTCGCCTTCAGCAGAGGGGACTCTCTGGCAGGCTCCCCAGGTAAACATGCGTGGGTGTCTGCACTCTCTGTAGATCCAGTGGGGTTTTCAAGGGGCCCTTGGTCTTGGTCACCCACATGAGAACTCGTGTCTCCCAGCAGGCCCAGCCATGAATAAGGCTTAGCTCATGGCACAAATGGCACTCACTTGCACACACAGCCCAGACATTGCTGGTTCAACGGTGTCACCTGTGAATTCAGCTCCCAGGGAGGTATCGGTGTATGTACATGGAGCAGTGATGGGGTTAGGGGCAGTGTGAGTGCTTCTTCATCATTTGTCTGACTGCAGAATGGAGGAGTGAGGTGTGTTGTAGGAGAAAAATAGGAAAAAACAGTAGAATACTATGTTATATTCCACCTGTTTTTCCTATGTGGTCTCTGCCTTTAGCTGACCACTACCCCACCTCATCTTCCTAGTAATGTTACCGTGTGGTGATCACGTTCTCTCTGGCTCCACTCAGACAAAGGATATATGTAAAAATTTCAAAGCAGCTTTCATTAGGTTTAACCTCTCTTGTTAATTAAATAAGCTACTGGGTTTCTTTTTACTTGGGTAAAGCAGCTCTTTATAGCATTGCACAGTAACTCAAGGACTGAGAAGACTGTAATAAATTTGGACAATCAATTAAGTGTTGTTTCATTTCCAGAGGTTGCTCTCTAGGCTTATGGAACAAGAAATGACCAGGCCAGCAATTTATTTGCTAAATTGCCCCGCAGTTAGTACATATTCCAATTTCCTGTAACCTCTCCCTCTGCCTCCCTTATCCCAATGCTACGGTAATGATTCTGAAGCCCCATCCATACCTTCAGCCATCAAGAATCCAGTTATGTTTTGCTATCTGTACAGTAGACTCTCAACACTCAAAAAAGACCTCTAGCCCAAATTTTCAATTTCAGAAGTATTTATATTGACTTCTTTCTCCCAAATCACATTTTTTTCCCATCAAAGACCATCTGGTTCCCATGTTTATCTGTACAGGACAAGTTAACCACCTTCTCAAATTTCACCCAAGTTTTCTCTCTCACTTGATTGCATGATTTTCCACCAAGACATAACATTTTTTTTACTTTGTGAGCTCTCATGCCTTCCTTATGACTGCAGGACAGTATGGTTAATATGAGATGCCTCGCCAGCTAGCTGGTCTACTCCTGCCAGCAAAATGAGAAATGACCACATCATGGACCTTCAAGGTCCTTCACATGTGGGGCATCTTCACATGCTATGAAGTTTCAGCAAAAAGGGAAGATGCACATTTTTTAAAGATTTTCAACCAAAAGGATCAAAGCAGGGGTATATTTCCCTTTTCCATTAACCCTCATTTAACCAGACAACCTATTTAATTGTAACTTCTCACTGAAAGGAAGGCTAATTCTAGTTCATTGTTATTTATGTGAAAGACTTCATGGTAACCCAGTGTCAGAGATTAAGGTGACTCATTCGTTCTGTACAATCCCTCCCACCCCAGGAGGTGCTGAGACATCTGATCCAACTCTGCTTGGTGACATGTGCTCCTGAGTGCTATTTACCCTTCCCCCATTTTCCATCCCTGTGGATGTTCAACCCAACAGGAAAGAGGTGAGAGATAAAGAGGTGCAAGCAAGGCCAGCTTATTTATGCCCACCTTTGCTTTAACTCTGCAAAGTAGAGCAGCGAATCAATGAGCACAGCAAGAGGAAAGAGAGGTGGGGGTGCCTTGCTCCTTGGCTTTGCCCTCCCCCCCCTTCTTTTGTCTGGTCTCCATCTGGGGCCACCCACCAAGTCTTCCCCGTGACCAGGTGGTATTTCTGTGGCCACTCTTACTTCTGTTCCATTATCACCAGAAGAAGCAGCCTTCATCATAGGATTTTTGTGCAAAGCAGTCCTGGGCACCCTTTGGCCCCATATCTGACTTACGATCCAGATAAAGTAATTTGCGTGTATTATGTCTTATCCCCATGACACGTAAGGAGCAAGATAAATCCCAGAAATTAGTAGGGCTTTAAGTTTAAAAAGAGCCCTGTCATATTATTTGATCCCCACAACCATGTTAGGAGATGGGCAGGAATTTTTGTTAAGGAATAATAGGTGAGGAACAGGCTCTAAGAAATTAAGTCACCCGGTCAGTATCATAGGTGTAATAAGAAAATCGAGGGCTGAGGACTGGACTCTCAAGTCTCTTGGTCCTGCTCTAGGACTAGCTCCCTCTCTGAACATAAGCATTTTGTGCCCCCTAGAGGGCTGTGACTTATTTTGAAAACAGCTGGGCTAGTGACTATGATGCTCACAGTGGATTGAAGCTGGCAGTCCCTGCACCAAATATTGCCACCATTATCCATAGGGAGTGTCCATCTGCTTGGGCCTTAGTTTGAAATCAGAAGAGCAGAGCGTGGTGAAACTTGCCAGTCCTGCGGATGCTTTCATTTAAAAATGGAACTCTGGACCAGCCCACTGAGAGTACGCGACCCATAGCAGTCACCATGCCCTCTCCCCAGATTCATCCCTTCTCTCTTGTCCTGACAGTGGGGGCAATTTCAAGTTGCCCTTGACAACCCTTCCAAATCCGCAGAAGCACAGCGGGGGAGAGGTTGGGAACCCAGATTCTTTTTTGGTGCTGGATTATCCATCCGCGGTGTGCTGTAAGGTCAGTGGGGACAGGAATATATGGAGAGTCCCAAAAAACATCTTTTTACTTTATGAAATTTGGTAAGTGGAAGTATTCCTCTGGGTTGGCTCTTGCACAGTCAACATTTGGGAACCATTAAAGCTCCATAGCGTGAGCAAGTTCATCTGGGCTCCTAATTTGGGCTGATTTGCAGAGTTCACGTTGTAGCTTTGACAGAGCTCTTAGCATTTGGTTGTCTGATGTTGAATATTGCCCCAGAATGATGAATTTTAATAGTCTTAGTTTGTACTCTTATGTGCTTCTGTAATTAAACTTCCCTACCCAGTCTGGAGAACACAGATGGCCCGTGGCACTAGTGACTAGGACCGAAGTGAGCTGCTTCCCCTTGTCCCTCACTGATGCCAAGCAGACAGCCACTGAACACTATTTACCCCCTCGAATCCCCAGACTGAAAAGGAGGGTGGGGCATTCTTCTGTTTTGTGGGTTCTGTTCCCCAGAAACAGGTATCATGAGTGAAGCAAGAACTGTGTATGGGTTTTGGGGGCCCCAGCCTATCAGTGCAGAGTGAGAGGAAATTCCATCGATTACAGTACGAAATCCTCTTCCACCCCACCCCTAATTTCACCCCAGTGTCTCCTCCACCCAACCCCAGTAACTCCAGCTTGCCATCCAGGACAGAGATCTCTTGCAGATCCTCTGCAAAGGCTGCAGCAATGAGGCTTCTTATGTGCTTCTGTAATTAAACTTCCCCACCCAGTATGGAGAACACAGATGGCCCCCACAGCACTTGGGGGTCCAGGGCAGAAAACCCAGCTCCCTACCACCCAGTCCCTCCAGGGGCAGCTTGCAGTTGTACTGCAACAGCAGTGGGCAATGGGTATGTTGGCTGCCTGGTCTCCCTCCTGTTCAGGTGTCCTGTGGTCAGTTTTATGCACACAGTTGGCTCTGTCCCCACTTAGACCTCTTTGCACCATACTTCAGATTTCCTCTTTGCTTCCCTTCCCCAAGCTGTGCCTCTGTGCTCTTAGCAAATGCCAAGGGAAATTACACAACTTGAACTAGTTTGCCATGCTGCTGGGACACTCGTCTGTTACTGATTTCTTTTCTTTTTTTCATTAAAAGCATGTCCATTTCCCCTGCTCAGAAGCCTCTGAGTATATGTGCACAATTACCAAAACGCCGAGGCGTCAGCATCCTACCTAGTGAGGAATGTCAGGCTCTGAGACCCAAAGACATTGATCTTGTACAACCCTCAGTGAGCTGGGACTCTGTCATGAAATGAATGTTCCTTCTCCTTTAAAAAATTGCTTTTATAGACCCGACCTTTGTAAGACAATGGTATCTTTTGGTGTTGGGAATCCTTTGGGACTTTATAAAGAAACCTTCAATAGCATTATTTTTACTTAAAAAAAGAAAAAGCCATATTTCTCCTCCCAGCAGTGATGTCACTTGTGTTTGGCATGGGGGTCCCTGTGACAACAGAGTGACATGCCTGTGCTGAGTACCAAAATAATGAAAGGGGAACAAAAGGGAGCAGTGACAGAGGAAAAGAGGGGGATCTTCTTAGGGTGGTCAAAGTCTTCAGAGAGGGGGAATTGCAGCTGACACCTAATGACTGAGAACCAAGCACTGGGGCAGGGGGTGTGAAGAAAAGGGGGAGCAAAGAAATGGCATCTACCGAAGGGGGGGACTCTTACATGATTGAAGGTCCCCAGGGCAGCCAGTGGGCTAGAGCAGAGCATGCAGGGGAGGGACGTGAGTCCCCACAATGAGATCAGACAGGAAAATAGGGTTCTGGTCATAGAAGTGTTTAGGGGACAAAGCAAGGAGTTTAAATTTTATTCAGACTAAACTAAAGGAAGCTGATTTGTGTTTTTAAAATGTGCTTCTGGCAGTTGAGGTTAGAACAGATTATAAGATTGTAAATGGGGAGGCCAGTCTGGGGTCCAGGCGAGGGCAACGGCCGCTAGGACTTGAGTGGGGACAGCGGTACAAGCAGCTGGGTTTATTATGTCAGAAGTGGAGATGAGAGGACTTGACGTGGGGATGAGGGGGCGGCAGGAGTTGAGGTAGGCTCCCAGGTTTCCAGTTTAAGTCACAGTAGGTGTGAATGACACTCACAGAGAAGGGGCATGCTGGAAGTGGGATCCCTGACTCTGTAATCCTAGCCAGGCACTGATTCTTATGGTTCTGATGAGAACAGTGATTCAACCTATTGTTATTTTATCTTGCTATTGTGTGGTTTGCCAGCAACAATAGCATCTTGGCAGCTAGACAGATTGTCAACCTCCAGGACTCACTCCCAATAGATGCTAATCAAAATATTTGATGAATGGCAGCATTATCTCAAGACAGAATTAAATTCCTGAGGTTCTGCCCTAAAAGGACAGGGAGCAGACCCTCTGAGGAACCGGTCTCTTCATTTGAGCCTCTGACCTAAGTCTGTGTTCTGAGCGGCTGGCTCATGGCTCCCCCTTCCCCTCCTGGGAAGAAACGCATTGCTGCGGCTGTTGGGAGGCAGAGCTTCCGCCTTGGGAAGGTGGGGTGTTCTGTGGTTGAGGTAACCCTGGGCTCACCTTAAGAGCCTGTCTTCTGTTGATCCTGGAGAAGGTAGTTCACAAAGTTGAGCTTAAAACCAGTATCATGGTCTTAACTGAACTTTCCCAAGAAGTAGTTCTTGAAAATGGAGAAAGAACTTGACTCTGAACACTCAGGAGGCCTTTGACAGAAGGTTTGTAAGCAGGTCCAGTCCCCCCTCATGTGTGTGCTTCACTTCAGAGGACCCCACTTAGCCCTCCTCAGCCCTGGCCCTCTCTGTGCGGTGAGGAGTTTGCAGGACCTTAGAGATGTGCCCACCCGGGGCCTGCCTTCTTCCCTCCTGCAGATTCAGATGCTGGGATCCCCGAGTTCCCCACCCAAAGAACCTGGGGAAGGGGGCCCTAAAGCCCTGGACAGGGGCTGGTTTGCCCCGCACCTATTTTCTGGCACAAAACTGTAAGCAGTTGGACCTACCTGGCCTTCCAGGTTGTTGTATTGAAGGCCTTTACCAAGGACAAGGCTAGAACATATTTTAACAGTTTATTAATGTGATTTAAATACACATCCATATAATTTGTGGGCCTCCGCTTATCCGGACCCTGCCAACTGAGTTAACGCCACTAAAATGCGTCACCAGGGGAGGACTGGGTATCTGTGGGGTCACACGGGAGGCCTTCACCTTCGTAAAAGAAGGTTTGTGAATGGAGTTGATGTAAATAACTCACCTGCTGGAGGGTCACGTGGTTGGTACCTAACCGCCCTCACAGCAGGGTCCTCACCTCCCGCACTTACTGCAGACCAGAACCCAGAGAGGCGGGGGGCCACCTCTGCCACAGCTCCCCCCTGTTAGAGGTCCTGGGAGCAGCAGGAGCCTGAGCGGAGTTGGGCCATCAGTTCCTGTCTTAGGTATTTGCTCCTCGTAGGACTAAACAGGGACGGAACTGCTGGTCTCTGAGGGGAGGCGTGAGGGCCTGGTTGCACCACCGGGTTACCATTGCCTGAAGGCCTACCGGACCTCAGTAAACAGCACTGTCTCCCTCTCTCCCTCTCTCCCCACCGCCCGTCCTTGCCTTCTCTCCTTCCCTCCCCCTCACCTTCTGCAGTAAACCGGTCCCCTTCTCGCTGTAGCGGGCTGAACCGCTCGGAGTCTCCAAACCGCGAGCGCAGTGACTTTGGGGGGAGCAACACCCAGCTGTGCGGCAGCGGCAATAACCTCTACACCCCTGACTACTCAGTGCGCATCCTCAGCGACGTGCAGTTTGTGAAGGTAACTCCCCAGCAGGGCAGCCGCAGGACTGGTGGGGAGGCGGGTGGAGCTGCACCCCACCCCGCTGCTCCCCAGGTAAGCCAGCGGCTCCTTATTCCCTGGCCTTGTTAGCTTGGTTTCTGCACATGATTTGTCATTCTTTTTAAGATCTCCCTGTCCCCATTTTTTGGTGTGGGGAAAACTGAGGCGCAAAACAATAGGGAATTAGCTTGCAGGCAGGACTGCTTCCTTAGGGTTCCCTGCCGTTGGCACCAGGTTGATTTTTGTTTCTTCAAGGTAAATTCGCAGGTGATTAATAAACCAAGTGTGTAGAGGAAGCCATGCTATGATTTTATGTGTGATAGTATCTTTTTACATCTTAGTACTTGAAATCTAAAATGCAAGTGAAAATCCCACATATAACTATTACATCCCTTGACGTCACTGAGCTCTTAAGAGTGAACCACTTTGCAAACACAGTGGAGAGAGGCGGCAATGCTCATTGCTTTGTAACTAAGGAGGAGGGGAGTTGTTCCTACAGAGCCCTCATTGAGATGGGTATTTTGCAGAAAACTTCTAAAATCTCCTTCTTCCTCTTGGTCTGACAGGTTTGATTGTATTGCCTTTGTTTGCTAGCATTCTGCAAACCATTACACGCTTGGGCCTGTGATCAGGAGAGAGCCCCGTTTATCTGAGTCCAGCAAAATACCCAGTGGTTCACTTGGTAACTCTTGTCCCAGGTGCAGGCTGGCTAACAAGAAATGAAGAGGTCCTAACAAAGGTGGGAGAAAGTCCTTCCCGTCTGCCGAGGACACGTACCATGATTATATGAGAGCAGTGTGCACTGGCTGGCTTTCCAGTGAAAAAAAAAAATTCCCAGAGGGAGGGGTGGAACCTAGGGAGTGGGGTCAGATGATAACTGTGGAGCACCCTGGGCAACACGCTTTACTAGTCCTTTGTCTAAATATCCGCTTAGTCTCACAACCATCCTATATAGTTGATTCTACCATCATTTCCATTTCATAGATGAAGAGACGGGGGCTTGAGGAGTAGAAGGCCAATGGCTAGTAAGTGGCAGAGCCAAGCTTCCAAGTTGAGGCTTTCTGTCTGCAGAGCCCAAGCTGTCAGATCCCTGGGCTTTAGGGAGAGCCGGGGGAAATCAGAGTTGAAGGGACCAGGGAGAAGTGGCTTTGGAGACAAATCCAGAGACTCATGGGTGTGTATGACTGTGGACACTTGACAATCTAATGTGATAGTGAGATTAAACCCCAGAAAACCTCCCTATTGCTTCCAGCCCTGAAGTCCTCTCACTATACACCTGCCTCAGAAGGGAAGGTACCAACAAAACAAAATGGGAGAAGAGAAACTGCTGTGCTCTTACCTGTTCGTGGTACTGCCCACATGGCTTGTGGGAAAAGAAATTGAAAGACACAATATGAGCAGGGGCTCAACAAATATTTGCTGACTGCCTGCTCTGTGCTTGACACTGTCTAGGCATTGGCAAGATACTTTGGTGAACAAGACACCAAGCTCCTGCCCTTCTACAGCCTCCATGCTGCTAGGGGAGAAAGATGACAAGTAACCACATCATAAACAGCCTAGGGGATTTCAGGTAGCAATTGAGGCTATGAATCAGGAAGTAACAGGGTTGTGGGATAAACTGTGATTGGGCAGAGCTGACGAAGAGGTTGCCTTAGAAATGGTTATCAGAGCAGTCTGGGAAAAGGACACCTTTGCTGAGACCTGGAAGGGGAAGTGGGGAGAAGGTTCAAGATAGAAACAACAGAGGCAGGAAAGAGCACAATGCTTCAAGGATCTGAGAGCTGGCACATGATGGGCAAAGACAGAGGCTGGGCGAGGTGAGAACATTGTGTCAGCAGCAGTGCTGCCTCGCATCTTCAGACCACAGGGAGGCATTTGGACTCTGTTTTAAGTGCACTGGGAATTTTTGTTCAGTTTGTTTCTCCAGTCTTTCCATTTGTCTTAGTCTGTTTGGGCTGCTCTAACAAATTACTGTAGACTGGGTGGCTTAAACAACAAACACTTCTCACAGTTCTGGAGGCTGGAAATCCAAGCTCAAGGTACCAGCAGATCCAATGTCTGGTGCAAGCTCACTTCCTAGTTTGCAAATGACCAGCTCCTTGTAGCCTCACACAACAATGGGGAGGAAGCAGGCTCTTTTCTTGTCAGGACACTAATGCCACTGCTGAGGGCTCCCCTGCTATGACCTATTTACCTCCAAATACCATCATGTCAGGGGTTCAGATTTCAGCATATGAATTTGGGGGTCAGACATTCAGTCCATAATACCATTTATATCACAAGTTCAGAAAATCAATGTAAGGACTTGGCTGACTGTGGTAGGGAGAAAGATGATGAGATTTTGGGGGAGTCATGTTTAATGAGCAGCGGTGATGAGCCCAGAGCTTTCTGAGCACCCCTAGTGTGCATAGCCTGGGGAGCACTTTCAGGAGACAGATTTGGCAACTCTTCAATAACTTGGCATTAAGTCTGTGAGGATTTTCTTAAAACTCACAGATGTCACCTCACACCAGTCAGAATGGCCACCATCCAAAAGACAAGAAATAATAGTGTTGGGCAAGGATGTGGAGACATGGGAACCCTCCTACACTGTTAGTGAGAATGTAAACTGGTGCAGCTACTATAGAAAGCAGTATGGAGGTTCCTCAAAAAACTAAAAATAAAAATACCATATGACCTAGTAACTCTACTTCTAGGAATTTACCCAAAGAATACTAAATCTCTGATTCAAAAGGTATATGCACCCCTGTTTATTACCACATTATTTACAACAGCTCAGATTTGGAAGCAACCAAAGTGTCCACCAGTATATGAATGGATAAAGAAGATGTGGTACATACACACAATGGAATACTATTCAGCAATAACAAAGAAAGAAATCCTGCTATTTGTGACAACATGGATGGCCTTAAGAGGGTATTATGCTCAATGAAATAAGCCAGACATAGAAAGACATATACCACTTACACATGGACTCTAAAATCAAAACAAAACAAAACAAACAAAACAGCAGTAGACTCGTAGACACTTAGAAGTGACTGGGTGTTACCATGGGGGAGGCATTAAGGTGGGGGGTTGAAATAGGTGAAGGGAATAAAGAGGCACAAAATCTCAATATAAATTAGTCATGGGGATGAAAGTACAGCATAGAGAATATAGTCAATACTTCAGTAACATCTAGAACATCTTTCTGCATTGACAGCTACACTAGTTGGGATGAACATTTAATAATGTATATAACCATTGAATCACTGTGCTGTATACTTGAAACCAATATAATATTGTTTATCATCCATACTTCAATTTTAAAAAATCAAAAAACAAAACTCACAAATGAGCCCATGTATCCACCCCTAGAACTTAAGGAAAGGGTATATTCTGCAAATAACGAGGGACACGAAAGGTAAGTGTCTTTCCTGATGTGAGATAGTGGGGTGTTGAGAATCCCAAATCTGAGGCCAGTTCTCAGGTACTGGTGTTGTCCATTTGATCAGAGCAGAGGCCTTGCTGCGACCGGGGCAACCAAGCAGCAAGAACACAGGCCTTTTCTCCCCCTAGACATTGTGAAATTGAGAAGATGAAAGGTCAAAAGGAGAAGTTGAGGGGAAAATAGAAACCAATTGAGGCATTATTCAAAAACCTCTTTCAATTTGTGGTTCCAGCCTCTTAAAAACTTTCGTTTTAATGGGCAGTTCCATAGAAGGGAACTTTGGGAGAGCACACTCCTGTTTTAACACAAGCATTTGTTTTATTTTGATGTTGATTTTCTCTCCTGTTCGTTTTTTAATGTAAGTTAAGGTAATATCTTAGACTGAAGTTAAAAATTCTCTCCTCCTGATTTAATTGACTCGTTAGGGCCGTTGTTTAGGCTATTCTTTTATTCACTCCCCCTCCCATCCCACTGCCCAGCCTATTTTAATATGAAGAGAGTTTTTGAGGAAGCTAAAGAGAAGATGGTGTAAAAGAGGCGTTTGCACTGGCAGAAGCCCCTGTAACCAACTGCAGGAAGATTCTACAAGGGTTTTCATGTCCAACAGATGGAGTTTCAGAACTGTTTGTTAAGACCCAGAGTAATTTGACTTCAAGATAAGTTACAAAATTAGAAATAAAGATAACCAAATGATTATCTGGGAAAGATATTAAAAGCCATGATTAATAGGAGTTACCAGTTAGGAAGTACCAAAGAATCCAAATGTGTTCTGTAAATTTCATTATTAACTAAGAATATTTGGCAGATGTTGTAGTCTGAATTGTGTAACTGTGACCAAGATGCACCATCACCATCTTGTGGCAGGATCCCTAAATTGCAGGATTGTGTTTTGAGGAATGAACATGATAAAATGATCACAGTAGTTGAAGGTTAACTTGTGGACACATTGGCTGCTGAGTCAAAATGTCCTAAAGAGTGCCCTTACTTTTTGTTCATTTCAAGATAGACAGATCTCTGTTTCCTTTGTAATTTAGAGGATGCTTGAGTACTTAACTGAGTCAAATAGAGGTAAGACAATGTGAACTCAAGCTGTTGCTAAGAAATGAACAGTGGTTTGATGCCCTCAATGAACCAATTGGTAAGTATTTGTTGAGCATTAAGGATGGTTCTAGGCACCATGAGCTCTATTAAAGATGTATAAACATTTCCTCTTCCTTGTGAGGAGACTGAAATCTAGTTAGGGAGAAGAAATGTAAGTTAACTAAGAGTGACCATGGCAAAGTAGTATCTAATTGATTATGAATTTTTGTGGCACCTATTTTAAGCACTATATTGGCTGAAGAATATACTAGACTTTTAAGAATTAGGAAAGAGTAAGAAAAGAGACACCAATAAACAGGGCAATAGGAGGCACGTAAACACTCAAGGAGCTGTAGAGAGAGAAGCTGAGCTGGACCGGCAGTTCTGAGCTGGACCATTGCTTCTGCCCATGCAAACACCCCTTTTACACCATCTTCTCTTTAGCTTCCTCAAAAACTCTCTTCATATTAAAATAGGCTGGGTGATGGGATGGGGGTGGTGAATAAATGCACAGGCAAGCAGTGGGAACATCACTGGCCAGGTTATCAGAACTAAGCATAGAGGTTCAGGTTGATCTGCTAGGCTTTTGCTGTCCAAAACAGTAGCCAGTAGCCACATGTGGCTGTTGAGTGCATGAAATGTGGCCCACCCAAACTGATGTGCTGAAATGTAAAATACATATTAGCTGTCAAAGACTTAGTACAAAAACAAATCTAGAATTACACATTAATAATTTTATATTGATTCCAGGTCGAAGTGAAATTATTCTGAGGATGTTGGATTGAATGAAACATGTTATTAAAATTAATTTCACCTGTGTGTTTTACTTCTTTTTAATGTGACTACTAGAGAATTTTAAATTACCTATGTGCCTCACATATTTCTAGTGGATGGCACTGTACTCGATAGAAAGAAGTTCTTGGACGGTTGAACAAGGGGAGGGAATGGACCAAAAGTAAGGCGTGAATCTAGAAATGCAGCTGGAGAAAGGTTGCTTCCCTGAATACCTTTTCCAGAGTGGTGCCTCATCAAGAGTTTCTTTTAAGGTTGACGCATTGACGTGGCAGTAGTGCATGATTTGTTTTCTTTTTAAAAAGCAGTGTGTAGCAAGGAAGTGAGGCAGAGAAGTTAACCAGTGGGTGGTCCCTTTCCTTGTATACAGCTACTCATCAACAGTGCAGACCCTCCCCTAGCCTCTGCCCTTCCCCCTGTACTGGGTGACTCCCCACCACCATCACACACACACACACACACACACACACACACACACACATACACAAACACGCACACACACACTCTGCCATGCTTCTTCCCACCAATGTCAGGTATCCTGGCTGTAGCTGTCTGAATCTTCTCTTTAACCCTATTGACAAAAGAAAAGACATTTTGTCCATATTTCTCCTGCCTGGAATTTGGAAGTCCCCTTCTGGCCTGGCTGGGCTTAGCTCTCCAGATGCCTTCACTTGCAGGTGAGGTGTGACACATCAAGAGTTTGACATGACTGTGGCACCCATGGTCCAAGAGGGCACCTGGGAGACCTCTGGGTGGACCAGCCCCCATAGCATGATCCCAGATCCGGTGCTGAGCCAAGTCCAGAAGAAAAATCCCTGTGCCCTCTGGCACCTCAACCTCCAGCTTCCTGACAGTAAGAACCGGGCCAGCAGAGCTTTCCTTCCAGAGTCCCCACTGTCCCTTAGGAAGAGGGTCCTTGACAGTAGTGTGATTGTGTGTGTGAGACTCCCCATGGGCGACCTCCCTGCTAACTGGAGGCGCCCTTCATCCCCTCCGGGGTCCCAGCAGGGCGGGCTCCTCCAGGTGCACTGTGAGAATCTGGAGCCAACAAAAACAGCATGGGAACTGTGGTGTCAAACAAGCAAACAGCCCCTTTGTCGTCCCCCAGCCACTGGGCTGTACGGCTTGAGAAAGTCCCCAGTTAATGGATCCTAGATGGCAGGACCTGTGGCTGGGTTGAAAAGCACCTTAGTGGAGCTGTTTCGGGAGCAGAAAAGCTGGCCACATGCAGGGGACCCTGCCCAGTTCCTCTGACTTCAGCCCCTCCCTGCCTCTCCTCCCCAGGTCACACGGCAACAGTACCAGAATGCGCTCACAGCCTGCCGCATGGACAGCTCGCCCCAGTCCCCGGACATGGAGGCCTTCACTGATGCAGACTCCACCAAGGCCCCTGTGACCCGGGGCACGCCCCAGACCCCTAAGGATGACCCTGCTGTCACCCTCCTGAACACCAGGAGCAGCCTGCCGTGTAAGTCAGTGGGGAGGACTGGCCGGGCTGCTGTGGAGTGAGGGGCCCTGCCTTCCTCCCTCCGCCCTGCCCAGAGCTGCCCTCTTGTGCCACACGGAGCCCCAGGTCTTCTCCAAAGCAGGGAGGTGATGCACTTCATTGTCGCCCCCAGGCAGCCGCACAGACGGGCTGAGAAGCCCCAGCGAGGTGGTGTACCTGAGGATGGAGGAGATGGCCTTCACCCAGGAAGAAATGACAGACTTCGAGAAGCACAGCACACAGCAGCTCTCACTGTCACCTACAGCTGTTCCCACGAGAGCAGGTCAGGGAGACACCCCGGGCCTGGAGGAGCAAGGGGGGGTCATCGCCCTTGGACTCCAGGATGGCCCGGGACAGCCCCGTGTGGCAAGCCATGCACCCCAGCCCCTGTGATGCTTCTCCCTCCTCAGGTGGCCAGGGAAGGGAAATGGACCTTCCTGTTGCTGAGCACCTGTCCTCCGGCAGGTTCATGTTAAGCATTCTGCCAGGAAGACAGTGAGGGGGCCAGTGTTACGTTCTGCCTGGATTCAGATCCTGGCTCCTTCATTTAGAAGCTATGCAATTTTAAGCAAGTTACTTTTACCTAAGACTGTTTCTTTAATAGATTAGTTTCCTTATATTAGTGGATATAAATCACGGTAGCTAGCTAGCTCATAAGTAGCCTTGGGCATAAATGAGATGACATAGATAGTGCACAGTAGCACATTCTATAAATATCAGGTACTTACTGGACCTACTTTACAGATTAGGAACCTGAAGTCAGCCATCACTCTTATTGGCAGGGCCCTTCCCTTCCTCTGGGCCCCAGAGACTAGAGGTAATGTGTTGGATATCCAGAGGTCTGAGATCATATCACCTCCCTCTGAGATGTTGAATGCTTCCATCTTGATAGTGGTGTTCCCCGAACAACCAGAGTCTCACCGGTCCTGAGATCCTTCTCTGCTTGCCTCCCTGAGATAGACTTCCCCAAGCATTCAGCAGGCCCTCCAAGACCCATCCCCCAGGCCAGCAGTTATCCCACCTAGCTGCTCAGACCTGCCGCATCCATAGTCTAAGACCTTTCTTTTCTAGTCCAGAAATGACCAACAAGTGCTCACTGATTCTTGAAGTCAGTGAGATAGCATGTTTGAACTCATGGCTATCTCAGCACATCTGGGACATACACAATCAACATTCAAAGACCTGGATTTAGAACTGATTTCTCCCACACATACTGAATTCAGTAGATAAGCATGCAACAAGAAATTGTATCAAAGGAATAGGAATAGGGGAGAGAGAGTAGTCTGTGGAGATATCTAGTCCATCCTCCTTCTTTGACACGTGAAGACCCTGAGGCCTGGAGCAGGGAAGTGGCTTGCCCAGGCCACAGCTGCACTGGAAGTACACTCAGCCTTGTGGCTCCGGGTCTGGCGCAGTTTCCAGCACACCTCTTTGCCTCCCGAGCGAGGTGCTTACTGCATTAGCGGTAAGGGCCTCAGCCTCTTCCTGGCTCTGAGATTCTGTGAGTCTTGGAATCCCTGCTGGGCTCAGTGGAAGAAGACAAGAATGTGTGCTTAATTGTTACTGAGCCCTGCGATGTTCCTGTGCCAGGTCAAGTAGGGCGAGGAGGCATCCCCAGATGGCCTCAGATGTGCCTCCTCTTTGGCAGAAACACTAAGCCCAGAATATCTTGTCTCTTCTCTCCCCTGCCAAACGGTTGTGTGGATACTTGGACTCTTGCTCCTATTCTCTGACTCTTTGTTCCTTTTGTGGCACTAAAACACCCCTTGTGAACTAACCAGAGCCATGGGTTTCTTGGGCATCCCCCTTGTTGAGGCCTCCACGATTCGGCTCTGGTTCTGAACTTCCACCTGCTGAGAATCGTGAGTCGGGATTGCCCTGCCTGGGCTGCCGTGTGGGTGGGAGGACTCGAGTCTTTCTTCAATCTTTTCCCCTCAGCATCAGACAGTGAATGTTGTAATATCAACTTGGACACGGAGACCAGCCCCTGCAGTAGTGACTTTGAGGAAACCGTGGGCAAGAAGCTGCTGAGAACCCTGAGTGAGTAGCTCTTCACCCAGGTGAAAGCCACCCACCAGCTGCCTAAAAGCATGTTAAGATATTACTCCTGGAGGAGGAAGCCTTGGCTTCTTTGGGGAACCCTAATGAGGTACAGTCGTGGAAACCCATAATAGGGCTTCGGCCAGTAATGCACCCTTGGTCACGTAGGTGGTCATCGAGGACAGGAGTCTGCAAGCCATGGTCACCAGCCAAATCCTGAGTAAATAAGGACTTGTTGGATCAAAGGCCCATTTGTTATCTGTGGCCATAATGGCAGGGTTGAGAAGTTGCCACAGGAACCCAATGGACTGAAAAACCTGTAATGTTTACTATCTGGTACTTTAAAGAAATAATTTTGTCCATGAGACTCAGTAGAAAAGAAAGTAATGTCCTCCATGGAAAGGAGTCAGTGACAGAGAGAACAAGGTGAAAATACTCCTTCCTAAAAACAACAGAGCATCACTGCTCGATCTTTTGGCTAAGATCCAGTGTAGTATCTGTTCTTATCAGCAATATCTGATATGCCCTCTATTTGAGGACAATATATTAAATGGGCTTTTGGAGCAGGGAGATGGAATATAAGCTTGCTCTGTCCACTCCACGCATCGACCTGGTATGGCAGTACCCCCGGGAACAGTGGGGGGGAAGACAAGACAACAGAGCTGGGAACAGATTGCCCTTCTATCCTTGAGGACAAGTGTAGTTACTCCCACCTGCCTTGATGCAGAAGAGAGGTTGCCTCCGAGCTGCAGAACGGGGGTCCCTGGGAATGGCTCTGGCTCCATCCTGGAATCCCTGGCTTATGGGACATGAAGGCTGTGAAACCAATCCTTTCCCAGAGGGCACCTGGCACTCAGTTGACCAGGACCTTCAGGGGACAGGAAAGGCATGATCCGGAGGCAGTATGTGGGCTTTACTCAGTATTCTCCAGGAAATCTCCATTCCATTGTCCCTAGCCTGGGTTTGCGGCCTTTGGAGATGTCATCTCAGGTGAAAGGTGTATTCTAATCCTTCAAGATGTAAATATGCTGATATCAGTACCAGGATACAATGTAGATTACTTCTTGCCAAACTGTCAAGGGCTTCATCTTCATTTCTGCTTCTCTTTGGAAGTGAGCCTGGGCCACCAAGAGAGTATGAATGTCCTCCCGGTCTTACAGACTGATTCCTGCAAACTGTGTTTTTCAGGTGGTCGAAAAAGGAAGCGGTCACCGGATGAAGGGAGAGCCTTGGAGGAGAACTCCAATCTAACACCTCTGATCACATGACAGGCAGGCAGTGCTTGCTGGGTGTGTGAGGTTCCAGAGCTGTGGGAGACAACCCACCCTCTCCTCTCCGCATCTCCCCACGGTGACAGAGTGCTCTGCTTTGCTTACCACCTCTTCACTCCTGGCTGTCAGTTTGGCAGATTTTCCCTCATTGCCTCCAGTTTGACTCAGAGCCTTACTGTGGCCATAACGAAGGAGGTGGCTCCGGTGGAACATGCTAGAGATGGTCTTGTCCACAGCAGTCTGAGGCTAGAGAAGAAATGACCCCAAGCTGACAACACCACTCTGGGAACCCTGATGTCCTTTTTGTTCTTTGGGATCCACTGATGCCATATTTCATGCTTAGCTTAGCTCAGAAAGTGCCACTGGCAGACAGGCACATAGGAGGCTGGGGTAGCAGGTATGAAACTTAGTTCAGGAGATGCACCAAGAATTTCTCCAGAGCTTTGAGCAGTGGGTCTTGGCCATATTGGCTGGTGATGTAGCAGTACAGAAAACTGTCAGTGACCAGTTTCCTGTTAGATAAGCATTCTAGCAGCCTGGGAAGTGTGTCTCAGCCAGAATGGAAAGAATGTGAGATGGAACCTCAAGTCACTGTTTTTCCCAGGGACACATCTTTTTGGCTCCTTATCAACAATCACAGTCCTTCAATAAATCTGCTCTGAAAGACAAGGAACAGGGAGCAGAGAGACCCAGTTGGGAGCCAGAGATGGAATTTCAGGTTTTAAGTTTAAATCAAAGAAAAAAAAAACTTATGTGGAAAAATTTTAAGTTTAGCCATGACAAACCAAAGCGTGCCCAGGTCAGGGGAGAAGGATGGCGGCTCCCACAGGACTTCAGTGTGCAGTACACAGGAGCATTGAAGAATCACTCTTCTTTTCCATCCATTCTCCCCACCCCCACCCCCTACTCCCAGCAGGTCAGATAAACGTACTTAACTATAGTCCAAGAACTTGAACTTAACATCTGTTTTGTCACCTGGATGTTGGGGTAAATGCAGTTCCAGAAATAACCACCAGATGGCAGAATGACTCCACATACCTACCTAAGAATAATGACTAGGAACCACACAGCCAGCCTATGGGAAAATGTGATAGTGAAGGCTGTCCTGACCTACCACCCACCCCTCCGGAACTCCCAGTCAAAGACCCAGTGATCCAGTGCTGCCTGCTGAAATCCCCAAACTATTCCCAAACTTTTCCCTCGGGTATACCAGCTAGGCTTACCTCCCTTCTTTCAAAACCACTAATTGCTCCCCATCCCCACACCCAATCAATCAATAATCACATGGGGAGGAAGAAGACTGATAATTCCTTTGGGTTATTTGCATCTCAAAAGAAAATGCTTACCCACAGGAACCTTTAACTCAGGGGTTCTTAACTTGGGGGTCCATCAACCTAGAGGGTCTATTGTTGGACTTCAGAAGGTCTGTGAAACCCCTAATACTGTCAGATTTAGTGTATGTGTTCTTATGAGTGTTTTCCAGAGGGCAAAAGCTTTCAAGTGATTCTCAAAGGTTTCAGACCCACAAGGGTTAAAAACCACTACTGTAACTAGTGGAACTCTGAGCCCAAAGTTTCTGCAATGCAGAATGAAGTGAATACTGGGTGGTTCCAGACATTTTTAACCACAAGTGGTCTCTCAGGTGTCCACCAAATACATGGGGAAAGCTGGCACCCACAAAAAAGTGGAAGTCTTCAGAAATTCTTGGCACACCCTAGGATACTATAGAACTTACACCCCACATAACTGTGTCCCCTCTTCCCAGACAACCAGAGCAGGTATTGCAGACAGGAGGGCCACAGCATGTGAGAGTAAAGATTTTCCAGCTGGAGATGCCTTTTCTAGCCATGTAGTAGGACTTGACACCCCTTCCTGGCTCTGCCTGAGGCTCAACAGTGCATGACTTCTAGCAGATGACTCATGGCTACCACCCATCCCCAACACCTACTCTTGCCTAGTAGGAATACGCAAAGTGTCATCCCTCAGTCTGGGTGCCGCAGACCCAAACCAGCCAATGGTGAGTTCTGAGCAAGTCCTGCCATCATAGGGTTTTCTTGCCCACCTCGGCGCTGGCCCAAGGGGACCTGCCCGGCTGCTCTTCCTTTCATTTCCCTGTGGGCCACCAGCTCAGGCCACTGCTGTTGCATCACATCCATCCCTTTGCAGAATCCCAAAGGAGCCTGTCACCGCTCCCTTCCCTGTTCCCTACTCCTCCCCACCATGATTTTCTTCAGGTTAAAAAAGTTAAAAGAAAAAAAGGATTTTAAAGCATTTATGAAGGCTTAATAAATTGTAAATAATTTTTAAATAAAATGAACATGTTTTTCCTGAAACGTTTTCCTTACCCCTGGAATCTCCAAGTTCTGAAGTGGCTTCATTTGAGGTGTAGGTTGGGTGGAGCACCCGTGTAATTATCTCACCAGATGCACTGTCCAGGCCAGGTGTGGGGCTGCAGTTAGGGTTACAGGAAAGTGCTGGTGCTGTATTCTTGGAGGCCAGAGGGGTAAGGTTTTGCAGAAGCAAATGCCAGAAATGGGAAATAAAACCCAAATGAGAAGTCAGTGAGAATGAGGACAAGGAAGGGGCCTGAGATGATCGATCATGAGAGGGGCTGCCATCTGTTGAACCCACGTGATGCGACAAGCACTGGGCTGGGCACCTGCCTAGTTCAAGGCCTGAGGGTGGGGGTGGCACAGTGGTTTCCAGCCAAAGGCTGGGGAAAGGAACAGGCTTATTTGTCAGTTTTAAACCAGTGCAGGAGGGAAGCAACAGCCAGGCAGGTGGGAAGGTGTGTTTGAGGATTTGTCTTTGTTAGTGGAAGGTTGGAACTTGACACCTACATTTCTCAAACCAGCACACAGGGCAATTCATGGCCTGTGGACAACTTGAGATTGTTCCCAGAAGCCTCCGTAGAGGCTAACTTCATTAATAATAATAAATCATAGCCACAACTATTTTGCTGAGAGCTTTATGTGCCAAGTATTATATTAACTATACATTTACTCAGTTATTTCTCAAAACCACAGTGGAGGATTTAATGGTTTTTGTTTTACAGCCTATGAAACTGGCTGAGTCATCATTAGGTGACTAGCTCAAGGTTACATAGCCAGCAAGTGGCCAAGCCTCAGGCTGGGTATGCCTTCCTCCTGAGCAGGCAAAATCTGGGCAACAATCCTACCTCTGAAATTCAGAGGCATGTGACAGGCCCTGAGCAGCAGGAGAGAAACCTGCATAAGCCCCCTTTCCCAAACTTACCCTTTTTTATGTGAACAATTGGGGGAAACCCTGGCCAAAATATATGTGAGAAGAGAGACCAAATTCCCACTGAGATTAGGGCTTTTTTTAAAATGCTAAAAACATTTGAGCATTTTGATAGGGGCATTTGGTTTAAAGAAGTGTTTTTAACAATTTTTTTCACAAGTGCCCCCCCAAACAGAGATAAAAAGTAATTATCTACCTAACAAGGGAAATTAAATCCTAAGAGGTAAGATTTTGTCATATAGAATTGCACTTTGGAGGGCCACAAAGCACTTTAATCTCACTCTTTTTGCCCAAGGACCCATTTTTGGCTCCTTGGTGGTACTCTAACCCCTCACTGAAAATTCATGGTTTAAAGCTATGTATGCTTAGGGAAAATGATAGAAGATTGACAGAAGGTAGAATCACCTACAGCAAGCATCTTTAAATAGGAAGAACAAATACTGATAGAAAGGAGAGGGTGGAGTTTCACAGGCAAAGCAAAAACAAGGAATATCAAGGGCTGCATTCAAACATGTGAAAGGTCAGCAGTTAGAAGTGCCAGCAGACTCAGTGCCTGTGGTCTAACGGAGGGGAAGACGGCACCAGGGAGCAGGACAGATGGAGGTCAAATTCCAGATCAAAGTAAAACATCTTTTTCATTAAGGTGCTCCATCAAAAGAATGGGTGCTTCACCAATACTGGAAGTACTCCAACTAACAGAGACTCCCCAGTAGAAATGAGCTGGGGACAATGTGGAGACTATACACTGGGGAGGGGCTGGAGCTGATGACTTTTAAGACCCCCATCAGCCCTCAAGACCATAGGATTTTATAACTCAACAGTGTCCTAGAAAGGGGCAGATCTTGTTAACAAGAATTATCTTTCAATATTTAAACTCCCAAGTAGTAGTAGCCCTCTCATTTTAATAAGACTCAAAATTCTACAAAACCATCATTTGGAGAGCCTCCTAGGCTCTGGAAAATGTGATCCCTGTTTAAGTGGCTCTAATTGTTTCAATAGACTAGAAGTACTCCAACTGCAATGGGAGGGATTGTGTTCTGGGATCGCTCTGAGTGATGGTAACCCTTCCGGGAATCTAGGAAGTTCAGTTTCTTAAGTAATGGAAGACAGCTGGCTTCTGAAGAACAAGCCCACAAACTGACAGTGAGTCCACTAAAGGGAGACATAGTGCAAGAAAACACATTTTTTCAGTGAAAAAACACTCAAGTTCTTTCTTTAGCAACTAGCAAGTCCCTCTGTAGCACTCATTTTAAACCATGGGTTGCAACCCATTAGTGGATCACAAAATCAATTCAATGGGTCTCCATTAGCACTTTATTTCTTTAGTGAAACAGAACACAATAAGAGAATGGACTAGAAAATAATACCAGAATGCAGTATACAAAGCAAGGATAAATAACATTTTGTGAAATGTGCTTCAGTTAAATATGTGTGTGTGTGTGTGTCTAAGAGATGTAAATGTATTTCTTACCTTCACCGCCCTGAAGAACTAAAGCTTAGGGCTGGGGACACAACCATGCAGAAAAAGCAGGGGGACAGACCCTCTGGGTAGCGATGAGCTTTAATGACACAGCCAACACCTACAATCACACCTGACACTTCAGACGTGATCTTTGGGACTAGACTTTGTACAGAGTCAAGCAAACACAGAGGCACGTGAGCAATGCAGGCAGCACTCCTGCCTTTAGCAAGGGGCGAGATAGCTAGGTCTCGTGATCAAAATACCTTTTTATTCTTAAATGAAAGCCTTAATTTGCTCTGGCCTCCAAAAGGGCTCTAATCCCAGGCCCCCATTTCTTTTCAAGGGATGTCCTCTTCCCGTGGAGCCAGCGTGACCAGAGGCCGCCTCCCAGGGCAGCCTTCCCAGCCCTTCAGCAGCAGTCTGTGGCGCAGGGAGGTCTGGGCAGGCAGGGAATGCGCGGCAGAGGACGGCTTTGGTGGTGCTGGTGTGGGGCTGTTTCTTCACTGGATTTTGGTGACTGCCTCATGGATGGAGGTGGCCACATAATCTAGATTTTTGGTGGTTAAGCCACACATGTTGATCCGACCACTTGGCAGCAGATAGATGTGCTTTTCATTGACAAGATACTCAACCTGCTTGGCTGTGGAGAACCGAGAGAGAGAGTAGTAGAAATCCGTTAAACAACAGAGGTCCAGATTCTATGACAATTATAATTTTCCTTCTTTCCCCTAATATGGTGAGGTAAAACAAGAGGAGCTATTTTGTCCCATTGACACGTGAAATACGTGCAACAGACTCTGGAAACTACTCTTACTAGCTAACTTCCTAATAGGTTTAATACAGCTCCTCCTGAAGGGCATTTTAATCTGGGACTACGTCCCAACCAAACCTTACATGCTACGTTCACCAGGACACCCTATCAACTAAAATAACCTCAGATTTAAGAACATTCCATTGACATGAAAAACTGGTTATGAAGTGCTTCCTTATCTCTTCTTTAACCTGTATTTGTTTATCCCTGAGTACCTAGCAGCAACCTCCCTTTGACACTTCATTTTCACAGCACATTGTACAAGGCCCTGTGCATGACAGGTGTGCATGAATAAACAATGTATGCATGAACCGATGGGCTGAGAAACTGCAAAGACCTCTCAGACCTGGCATTCAGTTCTCACTCACACACAGGAGGGCCTTCCCATGTGTCTGCAGAAATGCACAAGTACGAAATAGGAAAGGACTGCCTCTACTTCCTTTATGCCACAATGTCTAAGGTGTTTTTGCTTTTTACTGCAGAGCCATGAAAGAAGTTTAGCTGATTTCTGCCAAAGAAATTAGCACCCATAAGACACCAACAAGTTGAGGGAATGGGATGATAATAATTAGTATGAACTAAATGTTTGTGTCCATCTAAAATTCATGTTGAAACCCTAACTCCCGAGGAGATGGTATGAGGAGGTGGGGCCTCTGGCAGGTAATGCGGTTGAGATGAGGTTATGAGGGTGGAGACCCCACAAGGGGAATACTGCCCTTATAGACCAGAGAGCTTGTGCACATACGTGCTTGCTCACTCACTCTTTCTCCCCACCACGTGAGGGCATGGCAAGACAGCCATCTGCAAGCTGGAGGGAGGCCACCCCCCACCCCCAACCCTGACTGTGCTGGTACCCTGATCTCAGACTTCCCAGCCTTCATAACTGTGAGAAGTAAACTTGTGTTGTTTACAGTCTATGGTAGTTTGTTTCAGCGGCCCAAGCTAAGATGGTAATAAAATCATACTAGTCAAAGGAGCAAGCGCAATGTGCCAGGCAGTGTTTATATTGTAAGTACTTTCTAGTAATTCAGTTCATCTTGATAATAACCTTATCATCCCCATTTTACAGATGGCACAGATGGAAGCTAAATGACCTTCCCAAGATCAGCAGCTAGCCAGCAGTGGATCTGGGATTTTAAGGCAGGCAGTGTAACTCCCAAGTCTGAGCTCCCAGCCAGGATGCTATGCTGCCTCTGATGGTGGGACACGTGGACCCTGTACCCAGTGCTATCCGTGCGCCCCTCTAAACAAACAAAGCAGTATTAGGCGGGCTTTAACCATGTGAATTACAGTCATCCAAGGAGATGAAGCCGAACCTCCCACACCAGCAGAGCCACAGGCACACCACTGTTGTGAAGCCTGTGCCCCAGGGCAGATGTGGTTATAGGCTCTCACCCTTGTTTTTTAAATAAAAATTAAACGCCCTTACTTTGGTGGGTGAGGGCTACAATATAATTGGAAAGCTAGTAAAAGTTACGGATTCCTTCCCTAGAAAAAGGCCAATGTACAATTTAAAAAATATTTCAGAGGCTTCACAAGTCTCCTAAAGTATATCCATGGACTACAGGTTGAAAGCCCATGTTGGGATGGATAAAATGTAATAAGGGAAGTACTATAACATGAGAATTATAGAAACTAGGTGGAGGATATATAGAGTTCACTGTACAATTCCTCCAACTTTTCTGTATGTTTAAAATTTTTCCTAATAAAATGTTGGGAGGAAAATAAAAACCCTGTTTTTAAAACGAGCAAATGGTGCCAAGTGCTAAAAATATAACTTCTGTGTTACAAATACAGGTCTATTCCCACCATTTTTCAGTTCATAATAAAACTAACTTGCTCTGGAGAGTGGGATATTTTATGGGGAGACAACCTCCATCTTGTGAGCTTTCATAATATTACCACCAAACACCATTTCCATTACACTTACTTATGTTAAAAATCATGTAAGGATTTTACTTACTTAAGTGAACTAATTTCCCACTCCAGAATCACTGAGGACACCTATGGCTAATTGAGCTACCCCTTTACTTTCTTGGGTAATCTCATTTTACCCCAAGTATCTCAAGGGGTCTAAACTCTACAATCCTTACCACCTTTCCTGTTTGTATTTTTTTTCCTTTGGCTTTTTCTGAGCCCATTTCATACAGGCCCTCTGATGGCCCTGGTTTACAGTACCTCCTGGTGCCTCTGATGTTCCACTTACTACCCAAGCTAGGCACACACCTGTCCCTAGAACCATCCGACACATGCTCCACCCACATGTAGGTGAGTGGCTACATCTGTACCATGTGACCAGTAGCTTGGCCAGAAAGCACTTAGAAATTCTTACTAAAAAAATGAATATTCTATCCTCAGAAGGGACAGTGAATGGCTGATATGCCTTATGGGCTGCTGTCCACTAGACTTTCAACTGGCTTTTAATTTCAGCTACCAATCGATGTTCTTATTTATGAAATGGAGAGATAACTTTGTAACCTCTTTCTGAGGGCAATGCCTGGAGATTAGGAAAGACCTGTTAAGAAATTTGGCTCCTAGATAATCATATATATTTATACCAGGATTAAGGAAAAGCCAAAAGGTACCCAAGCATTTATGAGAGACCATTTACAAATCATGACTCTAAGCTGAAAATCCAGTTACTTTCCAGCCCACAAAAATGAAAAAATCTTCGTTATGGGTCAGCAGGGCAGCCAGACCACAACAGTGCTCTTCTGAGACCCAAGGGGTTTAGGGGTGGGACACACCAGGAAAACCTAACTTGTTCTGGCCCACGGTACTGACTGACCAAGTAGGCGACAGCTAATGGAGCTGCACCCAAGAACACGGACGCAGGGGAGTGCTGTCCAACAGTGAGCGTTCGAGGTGGTGGGGGCCACTTACGGTTCAACCCAGTGAAGCTGAACATTCCAATTTGCTCAGTGATGTGGCTCCAGGTTCCAGGAGTCTTGAGGGCTTCTAATCGTGCCCTGAGTTCAGATCTCATGGTCAGAATCCGGTCAGCCATTGTCTTCACATTACTTGTCCTGAGTGGACAGCAATATAAGTACCAATCCAGACAGGAGAGATGGTACACAAAACCCAGAGGTTGTTAAAAGTCATAGTGTAATCCACAAGCTGAAAATGGGATCATGCCCTGCCTATTAAGTGTGGATGCCTGGATGGGCGGATAGGCAGACTGCAGGGATGGACTTGCTGGGCAGAAGGGAAGGACTACACTTACTGATGGAGTTCAGTGCTAGTCTTGAGCATAGTGGCTGTATAATACCACCCATGTTTAACTCAGACTTCACCTAGGTGCTGATCTCAACAGGACAACATATTTCATTAGGCCTAATTAAGTAGAGATTACAGATTTAGCTACTATATGAAAATTGCACTGTTTCAAAAGATAAAATATATGTGAATTAGAGAAGAATGAAGAAACCCAAAATTGTCACATTAACTCCGAGTTCAATATTCTATCAGGAAATCCTTCCTGTGTTTTCCAGCTTTAAGGGGAGGAAGCCCAGGTGATGGGAGAGCGGGGGAAACTCCCACTCATTGAGTGCCTCCTCCTCTGTTACCCATGCTGTGTTATATATACGTGTTGTACATACATGTGAACAGGGGCCGGCCCGATTTCACAGAAATATCTGAGACTCAAAGAGGTTTAAGTAATTTTGTCCTGCCTCTGCCAAAATTAAAGCAAGAGTTAAATGTAGTGGGACAATTACTGCTCTGCATTCTCACCCCTCATCCAATAGGCTTTGAGCCCCTTACCATTCCTTAAAGAGCTCGGGGTTCGAGAGGGTAGAGGCCACGATTCGCGCTCCCTGAGCAGGAGGATTGGACCAAGTAACTCGCACAATCTTCTCCATCTGGGAAAGGACCCGCAGGACGCTATCAGTTTCTTTTGCAACCACGGTCAGATTCCCCACTCGCTCATCTAAAGAGAGGGAGACAGTTGGCCCTGGCAGCTCTGATGAGGAGGCAGGGTGGCAAGCAGGGCTGTAACTGAGGCCAGCACTCACTGTAGAGCCCAAAGTTTTTGGAGAAGGACTGGGCACAGAAGAGCTCGAATCCTTCAGACACAAAATAGCGAACAGCCCAGGCATCTCTCTCCAGGTCTCCAGATGCAAAGCCCTGATAGGCCGAGTCGAAGAAGGGGAACAGAAACCTCCGCTGCATGGAAGGAAAGTGAGTCAGCGCAGGAAATCCTCCTAGAAACAACCTCAGACACCAGCTTTCCTTCCCCAGCCAGTGCCTAGAAAGAGTTTCTAACACTGCCTGTTTCTCCTATATCTCTTCTTTCTGCATCCAAACACCACTTTACATCTGTTTCTCTGTTCAGCTAAAAACCAATCAACAAATGTAACCATTTCAGTAAACCCCATTTGTCCTAGAATGTCACAATCCCACTTTGCCAACAGGGCTTATTTTTGAGGCCTGCAGGTAATGTCCTATGTTGGAGGATTCTTCCCAGGAATTCCTGGTGGGATCAGCTTGGTCAGCCTGGTGTCCCCAGGGCCTCCTCACACCCCTGAGGCTATTCTACTGGGTACTCAAGACAAAGGAAACAACCTAGTCTCTATTCTTACCACTCCCATCCCCTCAAAGAGCTCTCCACACTGAGCCTGCTCCTCCTACTGGGCTCGCTCTCTGGGTGGACACCACTTCCCTCCCCCCCCCACTGTCCCAGCCAGAGGCCAGGGTGCATCCTCCACTCCACCTCTGCAGCTCACCCCTCCCAGCCAGTCACACCAGGACCTATCACGCCTGATTACTGGGAGCTCTAGAATCCTTTCACATCTGCCACTGCCACCTACCTCCTTCAGGTCACCACCAACTCCTGCCTGGACTGTGGCACTGGCCTCCTAACTGCTCTCCCAGCCTGTCTAACCTTGCCCACATCTGGTCCTCCCTGCCAGGTAGCCGGGGTCACCTGAAGATGGTGTACATCCCATCACCCATGACATCCAGGCCTTTCAGTGGCTCCCTACTGACCTCCGAGGAAGGCCCAACACCTCAGCACAGGGTCCGGCCCCCCTTTACCTCTCTAGCCTCATCACTCACATTTCCCCAGCCCCCTGGGAACCCCAGACCATATGAAGAGTCACTTCCACTTCCTTAAATAGGCCATGACCTCCGTCTTGGGCTTTTGACCATGCTATTCCCTCTGCAGGAACATTCCTTCCCTGCCAGCCCCCACTTGTCCTCATCCTTCAAGTCTCAACATGGCTTTTTCCACCACTACATCCTCCCAATGCACACACACTCCCTGAGGTCTGGCTTTGAGCCTCCATCTGATGCCATCAATGTGGTTGTCCCAGGGTACCTGGCCATCTGCTCGAATAGGCTGCACACTCTCTGAGGGAGGGAGCATCTCTGCTTTGTTCACTATTGTATCCCCATGATGCCTGGCACATACTAGGTTTTCAGTAAGTATTCTTTGAACATGTTAATGAATAATATATGCATTTTGAGCTAGAAATTCCTATCTAAGAAGTTATCCCAAAGAACAGTTAAAAGGAGTTTTATTACATAATTGTTCACAAGAGCAAGAAACCTGAGATCTAAATGTCCATCAGCTGATTTAATCAATACCTAATGCGATGTATCCACACATAGAAAGCAATGCTACAAAACATTTAGTGACTTGTAAAGGAGTTCAAATAAAAGACAAAGTACATTACAAAACAGTATAGACAAAATGATCCCGTCTTTGTCAAATAGATACATTTACATGTATAACTACATAAAAAAAAAAACAAAGTCTCACATTCTGTAACACAAAATATTTACAGCAATTTCCTTTGAGTAATAGGACTTACAGTTAAAATTTATTTTCTTCTTTGGGCTTTTCTCCATTTTCCAGTTCTTCAGTAAACAGGTCTTGCTTTGGAACACATTAAATAATAATACATACCACTAAGAGCTGCTCTGAAAAGGCAGTTACCTTCATGACAGAGGCGATCTGCTTCCACTGCTCCGGAGTTGGGTCGGTCCCCGTTGGATTGTGTGCACAGGCATGGAGGACAAAGATGGAGAGCTCGGGAGCATTCTGAGGAGAAGGCAGCTATGTCAGCTCTCACACCAGCAGGAATGAGAGGGGACAGAGTCAGTGGCAGTGCATTCACTCCCTACTTGCTTTTTCAGGAACCACCATCTGGCTGGGTAGGCTGTCTCCGACTCTTGAGCTTATCAACTGATCCTAAGACTTCCCTGCCCACCCGACACCACAGAGCTCTGTTTACTTTTCCATCTAATCACCTACCTCCAGATCACTCAGGAAACCCTGGAGGTCGAGTCCTCTCTTTGCTGCATCCCAGTAGTGGTAGGACCGAATGTCTTTAAATCCAGCAGCAGAAAACACACCATTATGATTCTCTGCAAGCAAAGGGGCAAAACGTTAAACGTTTTTACAAACACAAGGAGGCATAACTGAAAAGGACAGTCAGCTTCCAATTATGGGCCCTCTAGGCTCCATGTCTACTGGGCAACATCGAGCCAAGGGGTTAAGATTTAGAAGGATTGTAACTAAGAACACATTCAACCAGTACAGTCATGATAAACTTATGCCCTACTATAGTGGGACTTCCTGTATCAATATTTTATACCTCCTCTGGGAAGTTTCAATATATACTAAAATACAAGTCTACCAGGAGTCTTGGGAATAGGTATTCATTCCTAATCTGAACTTGAGTACCAGGTTTTTCATAACTACCATAACCCACTGTTCAAGCCATTCCCAAATCTCAGTTGATCCAGGGCTGGGTTACATTTTCTGTGAAAGCAGTGACAGTCTGAGGCTAATTCCCCGTGGCATCTCAGTTTCTCCTCTCGCTACAGCTACAGGACTCACCCCAGGTTGGGGAGGATACATAGATGGGAGTGTCCTTATTGTTGGTTCCATTGTACCATCGGGCTAAAAAATCAGCTCCAACTCGCAGTGCACCTGTTCCCCCCAGAGACTGCACACCTCCTACCTGAAAGAGAAGAAGCAAGGTCACTAGTTGTAATGGGGAGTCATTAATCCTTAGAAATATGTTCTAACAAAACAAAGGAGATATGCAAATAATACAAATACTCTCTTTACACTTCCTCTCATTTTAAAAATGATCTCACATGGGCAAGAAAAAAAGTCTTATATTTTACCATTTACAGAATACCTTCAGCACACATTTTTATTTGCTCCTCACATAACCCTATAAATTAAGTTCTAGATCCAACTTTACTCATGAGGAAATGGGCTGAGAGAAGTGGTTTGCCAAAGGAGGCACAGCTGGTGGCAGCAGAGCGGGGCAGAACCCCAGGTCTCCCACCAACTGCAGCCGCCATGCTCTGCTGCTGCCCTACCCACAGGGCTTCGGCTTTGCCCTTTCACAATTCTAATCAGGCTTTAGCATCACTCGCTCAGTAGAGAAATGTCCTAAGGTACATGCTGTTTAATATATCCAAAGGATGAAGGAAAACGAAATGATCACATGAGAAAGTCTATCTCAATAAACAGAAGAGCACTAATCAAATAACAGTGGTTACCTCCTGGGAGGAGCCTGGGATACAGGAATCATGGTCAAAGGGACTTCCACCTCACCTATAAGTTGTTTTTTAAAAATAGGAGAATGTATTTATGTATCATTTGTAAAATTTTTAAATAACCTAAAAAATTTATTTAGATGTCTAGGATTTTCAGTAAATAATTCGGCTTTGGCAGGGGGCAGGGAGTACACGAGACTGACACAATCCAGATCACTGTTGAAGCTAGGTGGTGGACACATGGGGGCTTGTTCATTACACTGTTTTATTTCCTTTTGTATATATTTGAAATTTTCCACAATAAAAAAGTAAAAAAAATCTTCCTAAAGAAGAAAAGCTTCCAAAATCTTTTTTAAAAAGAACAGCATAACGCTGATGCTAAAAGATGACAAAGGAAAACAAATAGAAAAAAGGGACCAAGCTCTTTGACAAGTATTGATACTAACTTCCCAAATAAGCATTAATGAACAGTATGATCCAAGAGTATATTAAAAGTACCACCTTGATCAAGAGAGTCATCCATGAATGAATGATTATTAAGAGATTTAAAATTTGTCACTCTGCTAGAGAAAACCCAAATGATCTTCCTAACAGATGAGAAAAAGGCAGCCATTCCTGATATAAATGCTCAGTAAAACAGGTAATGGCTATGTCCTGAAAATAACTGGAAAGAAAATATCCATTCAGCCATGATGAGTAAGTCAGCTTCATGATAAACAAAATGAACCATTAGCAGAAATTCCCTTTAAGACAGGGATACCAGTTACCACCACTATTCTTCCCCACTTTTCTATTGGTATTGAGATTGAGCATCTGTGAAAGAACCCTGTCTGAAATGGGAAACAAGCCAAGTGGACAGTCAAGGAGGTGAGGAATTGAACATGGCTGTACACAGCAGAGAGACGCAATGGCAACGGGCTGGGTGGAGCGGCGGGTGCGTGGCGGACTGGGCACACTGACCCCTCTGTTCTTCACAGTGGTCCCTACTGAGCACTGGTCCCTGCCCATTACTTTAAAGGTGTTGCCTTCACATTTTGATCTACCTAAATTCTTTACGGAAATCACTCTCAAGGTGATGTAAACCAAATGTGCACTTATTTATGTGGACTTGTCATCAGTTAATTTGAATTATCAACTTTATTCATTATTTCACATTTTAACCACCTAAGCAATTCTGGAATGCTGATACTTCCTATACAAATGAACAAGGTTTCCCTCGGACATGGTTTTAATTTATCGTGGATATGACACGGGCGTGTGGATATCAATGAAAGCATTCCCAGGCATAGTTCTTTACTTCCTGTGCACAACTTTTAACCTCACCCTTTCTCCCCCAGTCCAGAAAGCAAAGTCATTAATTAAAACAAGTCAGAAAGTCAGTAGACTGGATTTAAAGTGTTTGGAAGAGATAAACCCCCTTTACTAACACAAATGAATCCTTCACATTCATGACATGAATGACGCTTGACATACCAAGTTCTCAAGAAATTATCATTCCCTAAAAATATACTGAACCCCAGATGGCTTCAGTGGATCACAAATTGCTCTAAACTGTATCAACATTAACAGAAACAAATTTGTGGTGAATTAGTCATGTATCAATTTGTTCTGTCAACTAATTTTTGGCAGGCTGCTCTAACACCAAAAAACGTCTTGTATTTGATATGAAGGAAAAATCATAACATCAAACAAAGTAAGTACAGGCTTCAAAATGAGCCCGGCACCTGGAGCTGAATGGGTGAACAGAGGTCTCCAGAGCAGGTGTGAAGACTTGGTGTGAAGGTATGCCAGCAGGGAATCTGTCCTCCTTATATTGATGTAACTCTCCCCCCAATTTAGCCACACTGCCCAAAGGACTCGAGAGCCCTGCAGCACGGAGGATGCTTGTCAAGGAACCCAGCTTGCTGGCGTGATGACAGCACTGGGAGGAGCAGGACTGCTGATGAGCAGCTTGCAGCCAAGGCCAGGATACACTGACCCAGGCACCCCTGCAGTTCACACAGTGCTTGGCCCATGGTTCTAAATAGACATGGGCTGAACCAGGTGAAGAAAAACACTGTTGAAAAGGTAAGGACCACAGAAAAATCCCCAAGTCTCCCAGAGACCATGGTCAAAGCGAGAAACTGGGACATCACATGGCCCCCAAGCCTACCTACCTACAGGGGCTCAGTAATTTCAGAAACTGAAACGTTACCATGCAGGAGATGAAAACTGCACGTTTGGTCTGGATCCTAAGGTCTGAGAACAAGAAGCAGAAAAAGGCAGAGATGAATCAAGAAAATACATCTCAAAATGGTTGATGGACCTGGTAATGTTTAAATTTTGAGAAGAAAAAACTACGGTAAGACCCAATTACTGTTTGTTGGTTTATTCATTCATTCATGCTTCCTCTCCCTCAAGTCTGGACTGAAATGCATTTCTATTTCTATTTCATGACCGCCCTATTTAAAACTGTATCCACCCTCACTCCCAACCTCAGCACTTTACTATGCCTTCCCCTGCTCTGTTTTTATAGCAACTATCACCTTTTACTATACTACATCATGTTCTTAATTACTGTATTTACAGTGGGTCTCTTGCCACAAAACTGTAAGCCAGGGAAATCTTGGGTGTTTTCCTCACCACTGTGTCCACATCTGGAACTGGGCCCATGCCTAGTGGTGAGCACTCATCTGCTGCCTGAATGAATGAGTGAATTCAAACATGCGAGAATCTCTGAGGTCTCAAGCTAGGACCTTAATGCTGAAAATTTACGAGGTAAATTAATCAGCCATCATCCCTGACCTGGGGGGAAGCTACGGTCTTATGGGAGAGGCAGACTTGTAAATTACAGGGCACAGTAAGCCCAGGAAACCCAAGCTGTGGACAAATCCTGTGCTAGCCCAGAGGACTCAAACAACTAGGAGGATTCAGCATGCAAGTGACCCTTGATTGGGCCCTGAAGAAATTAGAGGTAGGGATGGGGGATTTAGAGACGTGAAGGGGGGCATTCCAAGCAGAGGGAACAGCTGAGGCAAAGGCTCTAAGTCATGATGGGGCCTGGTGGTCTACAACACAGCAGACTCTTAGAATGGCAGAACCTCACGGGAGATGGAACGGGGGTGTCAGAAACTGTAAGAACAGAGGCCCTCTCAACTGACCAGTGATGGAGACCTAACTGCACCCTTTACTGCGCCCCCTCTCAGCATGAAGCAGTTACAGCAGTCGTCACCAGCTTTCCCTAGCAGCAGCTAGGGTCTCCATCTGTAGAGGGGAGAATGAGACAGGACCATGAGCTTAGACAGTGTAGGGTAAGGGCCTCCAGAAAAAACAAAGCAAGATAATCCATTGTAAGATTTGCTTTGGCCTGCTGGGGGGCCCAGCTTATTTTTGTGACCTTACCCAGGTGCTGCTTTTCTTCCTGCAGTCCTAATTAAGTGATTTGCAACCTGGGCAATTTAATAAGCAAGCGCAAAACAACATAGTAAAAACAGGAAGGATTCCATCTTGAAGATAACATACACTTTAACAAACAGACAATAACTCAGCCCACCTTGGAAGCAAAGCAGGCAGTCTTGAGTGATATGCTCCCAGACCGGGAAGTGTCTGTCCTGGGAGGAAATCGGAGCAGTACATTTCTTGTAAGTTACCTGGAAGACTAATATGAAACTTTATGTCTCTTCAAAGATAAATATTTTGGGACCACTTAGCAGGTGTACATCCCTAGCCCTTTGTCTCTCAACCACCTATAAAACCCTTAGACAATGCGCCACCCTGGGACTCTCTTGTCCCCTCCCTGTGAGCCAGGAGCTCTGTCCTCTCACTTTCTCTCTAAATAAAAGCCTCTGCCTTGCTCTCCTAAAAAAAAAAAGAAACTGGAAGAACAGCATGAAGGCTGGCTACAAAATATGCAGCATGCCCAGTTCAAAGTCTACATTTCACCCTGTAGATAATGGAGGAACTAGTACATGTGTATGAAAGGAGGAGCAGGTGACACAATTAGCCTTTTTATGCTATGCAAGATCATTCTAGCTGCACTGTGCAGAATGTACTAGAATGGGGAAGATGTAACTTCACCCTCGGAGGCAAGAGGGTATTACAATAATCCAGATGAGATAATGGTGGGCTGAACTAAGAGAGTAACCCAGGGATGAAGAAGGCCTCCAGGGAAAGAAGAAAGGCTCAGAGCTCAGTTATCAACCAGTACCCAGGGTGATAAAGATACCAAGACAGTATCCTAAACTATTCCACAAACACCCAAAAAGTCTTCAAATACTTACAGTCTACCATGAGCACTGCCATTTAAATTTGTTCAATGATCAAAAACATAACACAGGATAAATTAGACTAAGAGGGAAGGCAATGTTCCACAAGCAACAGCCCAAGTCCTACAGAATAAAGCAATTACAATAGGGAGCACTGGACAAAGGAGCCCACAACTGCCCAACTCAGTTACTAAGTGTATAAGAAATGTACAGTCTTGGAGGAAGGAGCTCCCCAACACAGAATCTCTGTTGTCATTGGTCAACAATAGAATTCCAAATAGATTATCAATAGTGTCTCAGGAGATAATCACCAGCTGCGGAAGTTCTTCACTTTCAGACGTCATGAGGACTCTCCTCTCCCTCTGTGCAAACACTGGGTTTGCAGAGCAACTTCCTGAGGCTGCCCATAACCACTAAACTCTTGTCTTTTCTACCCATATTCCCTGGGTTCCTTGAGGCAAGTAAGTCACAGTCTCTTCATACCAATCCAGACAAAAGCCTAAGAGAGTTCATTACTTGAATCAATGACCTGAGCTCCAAGAGCTCCACACAGAGCCTCCTGATACACACAGGACTGCACCTGTGAGCAACCTTCATTTTACCCGCCATTCTGCTTAGCAGGGCAGCTGGGGAATAGCACATAGGGAACAAATCAATGACTCCAAGATGTGATCCCTTCCACGCATAAAGACTACACTACCACACTGGCCCAGGGGAGTGATAAAGCCAGATGGTTTAAATGTCACAATACCTAACTGGACTATTGCAAAAACCTGGGCTCTTTCCCTGCCAACTCATCCAGGCAGGTCTACCTTCTACAAACACTTTTATTGAGTAACTCCTCTGCGTAAACCTTCAGGTGGCTTCCCCTGCTCTGGCTGCCAAAACCAACCTACAAAAGTCCAATGTTCCCAGCTCTGATCAGGAAGGTCTCTTCACAACCTAAACCTGTGTACCTCCTACCTCTGCCCCTGGACTCATACCACTCCAGACAAACACTCCTCCTTCTTCCTTCCTCTGTACTTTGTGGTTCTCATCTGTGGCTGTACTTTGGAATCACGTGGAGAACCATTAAAAATATGCCCATGGAGGAAAGGGAATTGATAGGGAGAGGGAGTGCAAGGTCAAGGAAGGGTGGGACCCTCCAAAATTCTAATTTAACTCACGTGGTAGGGGGTCTAGTCATCAGTAGGGTTTGAAAACTCCCCAGATGGTATTAATGTATAGCCAGAGTTGAAACCAGTGTCCTGGTCTCATTTCCCACAGTTCAGCTCAAGTCCCAATTCCAGCCCTTCCCAGTCTCCCTCTGCTCCCAATTCCTACAACATTGAGACTCTCTACTATACCACTTCCTGCCACATAGAGCCTATCTCACTGTGTCTACTTCCAAATGTGTCCTTCCTCCGTGTGTCTCTATTTATACAGAGATTATATACCAGGAAGTACTAGAACAGAGAAGCTGAGATCAAGACTAGAAAAATTAAAGAATATTGGAATTTTCAGGAACTTCAGAGAGTATCTAGGCTAGTGACTTGTGAACTATAGGGGGCCACAGATTCCCTCTGAAAGTCTGATAAAACTATTAGCCTTCTCCCCCAAAATACACATACATGGAATTCTGCATAAAATTTCAGGAGGTTCAGAGGCCCCTTAAATGATCCATTATGCAAGTACTGCTTATGGGACCATGAACCACAAACGGTTGCTAAAACATGGATGAGTTTCAGGGACAAGATGGGTAAATGACTTGCCTATGGTCAAAAGTAGTGGCAGACCTGGGGTTAGACCCTGATCCCTTGATCATTCCATTAAATTCCTTCAGCTTGCCAGTTCCACTCTGACAGCTTAAAACCCAGAAGCTGAAATCTGATCACCTACTGAACAAAACTGAACAATCGAAGAAGCCATACTCTGTGTATGGCCACATTATTCACACCATCAGGCTCCTGAGGTCAGACTACTTAAACCCTTTTTCATTGAGAGTTCAACAGACACAACATCTAATACTTTAAAACAAATGGAATTTTCAGCCTCTTTTGACCTTCACAGTTTATAAAGAGAAAATATGTCTTCAACCAACACTCACCCGCTTCTCCTTGAGAGCTGGGCTGTCATCCCCCAGGGCAAGGCGGGAAGCACAGGTCCGGAACTCTGCTAGGCCCAGGATTGGCAGATACTCATGGTTTAGGCTACTGTCATTAGCAATCTTCTGCTCCACCTTCCTCACGACTGGCAAAACCCAGGGCTGGCAATCATCTGTGCGATACGCTGGAGCATGGGAAAGAGCCACAAAATGCAGGAGTCTTAGGCTTCATCCAAGTAAGGGCTGCAACTGTGAATAGGGAGAGATCTAGCACTTGCAAGTCAAAATAGAACAATGAGAAAATTAAAGTTCATTCATTACTGACTGCCTGCTTTGGGCCAGGCAGTGGGTTAGGTGCTGGACAAGCAGAAAGACAGACTCGGTTCCTGTCCTTATGAAAATTAGAGCTCTTAAATATGTGACCTCCAAAAAGTAGAAGGCTGAAATAAAACTGTGACATCACAGAGCCTGAACCAGATGAAGAAACTAAAAACATCTTACAAACATTGCCAATATTACTAGTGCATGGAGGCCCTGCCATCTTCCATCAGCACCTCCCCCAAGAGATTTCCAGAAAAGGGCTCGGTGTTGTTTCAGATGAATGCTGCCCCTTCAACACAAACATGGAGAGGAAAGGGGGTAGAATTCCCCCCACCCACAACCTTGTCTATTCGCACAGAAATGGGAGAAATGGTGAACAAATGTCCTGCGACTGAAGATTCCAACAACTGGTTACACAATCACCCAACAACCCACTGAAACACATCTTTGCCCTGTTTGTACGTCAGCCAGGTTTTTACCATTTCCACTGTTCTTTTGCATCATCTGCTTCACACTTATATTGACCTAAACTTATGTATTTCATAATATTTAATCTTGCCTACAGCAATTTTCTAAACATTTCTTCTATGTGAAAAGTATTTTTAGACCATTTTGAGTTACCCTTATACTGATTTTTTTTTCTTTTCCTAAACTACCCTATGATTATTGTGGGATGGTAGCTTCAGAGGGCAGCTGCTTTGGCTTGTACCCAAGGCCAATGACTGCTCTGAACAGGATTACTGACAAGGGGACATTTGATTCTGCTAGAATGTTTAGGTCTCCAACAAGCCTGTATTTTTGCAAGTGATTTTGAAACAGACAATTTTTGAGTAATTCTGATTAAGTTTTATCTTGCTGATTTTTGCCCAACCTTAATCCCTGACATTAAAACAAAGCACAACACTTTTTAGGGTGGTTGATACTGTTTATTGAACAACACATGTTGATTGCAGAAAATTTTTAAAAGCCTGAAAAGTAAATGATAAACACTATGATTAACATATAATCCCAGCACTCACAGATAAGGAGTATAAAAATTTTGATGTACAAACTTCTAAACTTTATTTTACATGAGTACATTCTTTTATAAAATATGCATCAATGTATATAGAATTTTCAACATGCTTTTTTCCACTTATTAAATATATATTATGAATATCTTTCACTGTCATTAACTATTCTTCTAATAGGTGATATATTCACATGCCCCATCCCATCCTTATCCTCCAGCTACCTAGTTCCAAATACTCTCCCTCCATAAGAAACTGTTCTTAATTTCTTTGTGTATCCTTTCAGAATTTCCCTACACATATACAAATACAGCGTTTTTCTATTTTCCTCCTTTTACACAAAAGGTAACATACGGCCTACTATCCAATGTTCTACTTTGACCTTGCTATATCATTTACTTTCCCCTGCCTTTTTCCACTTGAAAAATCTTTTTATATCTGTGCATAGTGTCTTTGTCCTTCTTATAGCTACATAACTGATGAATGTACCATAATTTGTTTTGCCAGTCTCCTGATAGACATTTCAGTTGTTTCCAATCTTTGGCTATTATAAAACAGTACTTCGGTTAACAACCTTATACATATATCATCTTACATGTAAGCAAATCTATCAGTAGGATGCAAGGCTGAAAACAGAAAAATGGTCTTAGAAGTATGTGCATTTGTAGTTTTGAACAGATAGAGCCAAATGGACCTCCATAGGAACTTAACAGTTTACATTCCTACCATCAATGTATGTGTGTCTGCTTCCTTACAGCCTTACTCACTGGGTGACTTTACGTCAAAATGAGTGTGTAAATGGTATCTCAGGGTGGTTTTAATTTGTATTTCCCTTATTATGAATGCAACTAGGCACTCTTCATATATGAGCCACTTACAACATGACTTTAGTGGCTATACAATATTCCTTCCTTTGTAAAATTCATTAACTGTGTTGCTTTTGATTATTTGCTGTTATAAATAGTGTGATGAATATTATATCTTTACACATTCAGTGTTTCCTTAGGAAAAATTTGTGGAGGCAAAGTTAGTAGGTCAAAAGTGATACAACAAATAAGACTTTGTAAGATCATTTTGATTTTGTGTTTGTCTTCCATCAACTAACTCTTCCCTCCAGGCATATGTCATCAGCAAATCCAAAAAGCACATCAGGCTGGTAATAACACTGTGGACAGAGCTCCAGACCAGCATAGCTATTAACCAACTAGTTTTCTACTGGTAGGTGATGTAACTCACACTCCTGCCATACTACTCACGTTATACCGTGGTCCACCAAATTCCCTCTCAACAAGTTCAAAAGCCTATTTTATCAGTGGGATTTGGTCTGGTTACTAAAAGGGATATCAAAATAACTACTTCCAAGCAAGAGTTGTCCCTGAAGCAGATCAACCTATCAATGATCACAATGCTATTACCTACCATTGTTCAAAATATTCTTAGAATTCTTTTCAAAGTATTTTTAGAGGTGACATCATTATTTTGAATATCCTCAATGATACCCAATCTTTGTCCTTTGAAAGTAAATTTAATTTCTGGAAACAGTAGCTGCATAATATCTAGCTAAGTAGGTGGGTGAATAAATTATATAATGGAGAATAATTATAAAGGTCTCTTCATGGGTCTAACATGCCTTGAAGGCTATTTCAAGAGGGTTTCCAGAAATGTTTGCACTATAGTGAGATGTATGGACTACATTACAGAGGATATTATTTACAAAGGTGTGGGCATTCATAGAAAAACCAGTTCTATTATGCTTCACATCTGTTTGGATGCCATAAATATATTTATACTATATATATAATGATGTCATTTGTAAAGCATGTATTAAAAATAAACTGAAAGATTCTATAGCATCTTACTATGCTGATGGACAGTGACTATAATGGCATATGTTGGGGGGACTTGGTGATGGGGGGAGTCTAGTAAACATAACATTCCTCATTTAATTGTAGATTGATGATACCAAAATATATAAATAAACTATGAAAGATTAAAAAATCACAATACTGCTGTTTTTACCAGTAACATATATACTTTGTGGAACTGTAAAAACATCCTGTAATATGGCTGGAGGCAGGGAGGCATTGTATCCATATTGTGACAAAAGAGATTATCCATTATACCTCCCCTCCCTTCTTCACTGCCCAGTTTCTGCCAGGTTCGCTTCCATATTTACTTTCAACGCCTCACCTAACTACCCTAATGAAAGAGAACTGCAGATTACTCTTGGGAGATTGGAGCAGTGAGATCCAGCACTATCAATAACCACTATTCCTGACCTGGGAGATTTTTATTCCTGTTTATTGGACCCATTTGCTTCTCATTCATTCCTTCATTCACTCATTCACTTAACAAGGACATACTGAATCTCCCATGAACTGGCCAGAAACAGCTACACACAGCACAGAGCCCTTAAGTCTCCTGTGACGGTCAGGGAAGGTTTTACAGAGGATTCAGTATGAAAGAAGGACAAGAGTTTAAAAGGTAGACAAGGAAAGAAGGGCATTCCAGTGCAGGGGGAAGTCTTCTCTTCTACCCTTCCAGGTTCTTTGGCTGATCTAATAATTAAATTGACCTAAGACAGATTAACAGGCAAAAAACAAGTTTGTAACATGCGTACCTCCTGTATACATGAGAGAGACCCAGGAAAACAGTAACTCCTGAAATGGTCAAAGCCACCACTTTAAATATCATCTTCAGGTAAAGACAAAAGATGTTGGGGGTGGGGAGTCAGTTAAGGGAAATCACCAGGAAAAGTACAATAAACAGAGGAAGGCTGTTCTGTAGATTGAAGTCCCTGATACATTTCTAGAGAATTAGTCATCTCCCTCTTCCTGGTACAACACAGAAATATTCCTTATAAATGTAAATATTCCTTTAAAAGGGGTAACTTCTACTTGGTATTCAAAGCTCCTCCTGTGTTTGTAGGTTCTTAAAAATAACCAGCTTAGAGACATATTTTGGGGTAGTATATTTTGTTCCCTTTCACCAGAGGGAAGAAGGAGAGTTGAGGTTTTTCGAAGACCTACTTGTCCATGGCTGAGAATAGGATCCATGGAGGAAGAGCAAGGAGTGGCTCAGAGTCCTGAAGAGTCTTCTAAAGAACTCCTTTCAATAGGGTAACCACTGAAAGCAATTAAGCACAGGAGTGACATGGACAACTGTATGTTTTAAGAAGATCATTTGAGTACACGATGACAAAGAAACTAGAGAGGGGGGACAGAGGCAGACAGTTAAGTCAGGAGGCCACTGTAATAATCCAGAAAGGAAATAATGAGTCTTGAACTAAGGTGACACAGCAGGGATAAAGAAAAGGGGAGATAATTCAAAACAGATTTCTGAAGTAGAAAAGACAGAAGGTAATCGCCAAATAAATAGATGTGGGACTGAGGAAAGGGTCACTGATGACTCATAAGTCTCTGGTCTGGATAAAGACTGGTGCAGGGGTAGGTGGAGGGTGGGTGTGGGGAGTGATGTTGACCACAATAGAACACATAAATGGAAGAAAAAAGAAAAGACTGAGGGGAAGGTGGAAATGATTAGTTGTGTTTTAAACATGCTGAATTTGAGGTGGTTGTAGAATGTGTCCAGCAAACTACCAAGTATGAGTTTGGCATTCAGGGAAGATGTCCAGGGATAGACTTCATAAATAGACACATCAGCAGGAGCTGAAGTCATAGTAATAACAAGGGCTTCCTGAGTAGTTAGCATATACAAGGCACTGTGCTAAATACTTGTTTTTAAACTCTCATTTAATTCTTATAACAATTCACAAAATAGACATTATGATCCCTATTTCACAGATCTGGAAACTGAGGCTAGAAAAGTTGAATTTTGCCCACGATCACAAAGACTGTCATACTATTAAGTTCATGGATCCCTGTGGTTTTTCTTAAGAGCAAGAGATGTCTAGGGAAAGCCTGAAACAAGCAGGCCCCAGAGGACCTGCTCCCCAGCTCCATGCACCACTGCCCTTCTCCCTGGGTACAAGCTCTTTTGGAGGAGTCACACAGGTTTCAGGTGAGCCCAGCAGCCTTGTTTTCCAGAAGAACAGAACAGAACATAGAGAATTAGATAATCACACCATCACCCTCCTTCTCCTCCTAGGATCTCCACTTCCTTCACCCACCCCACCCAAGACTGCATGCAGGTCTGCCTCTTACGGCTCAGGGAGTACTCAGAAAACCTGATACAGCATCTATCCAACAATTTTATTTGAAGATGCTAGGAACCCACATTAAAAACAACAACACATATTAAAGTAACTGCAGTTTATCTGGAACAAAAGAAAGTTTACATGATAAACGGACTGGAGTCTATGAAGGAATGTCTTGCTTCAGGCTGCATTAGGCTGGACCCATGTCTCCCAGCCCCTAAAGCCACTTGTCTGAAACTTTGAGAAGCACTGAAACTCAGAGTGTCATACTTAGTAGTCAAAAATATGATACTCTGCTCTGCCTAACCATAAGGAAATTATGTAAATAGAGAAAGAAAAAGATTCCTGAGGAAACCATGTGCAAGTAGGAACTGGCTGAGAATATGAACATGGACACATATTTCTCCATTTGTTTATACCTTCACTAGACTCTCCTTATACAGTAACATTACATGTTACTTGACCTTGCAAGGATCATTAACCTGGTCTTATCTTTTGTCCTCTTCCCTGAAGCAGGTTATAGAATCAGGGGAGATACTGATTGGTAGCATCTATGTTGCACAGGTGACACCAGATGTGGAGTCAACATGAACCACGCCAAGCCCTTCCGGGGCCCCAGGAAGATGGGATCGGTGCATAACTCTGAGAAGTTTCAAGGCCCTTCCAGTTTCTGCACTAGCCCACATATTCCTTCACCATTAGTCTGTTCCTCAGCCCAAGTGGGCAAGGCTGATTTGGGAAGGATGCTCCGACTTCTCATTGGGCTGCCCTTCCTATAATAAAGCTTTCTCTGCTTCAAACCCAGTGACTCAGATATTGGCTTACTGTGCACACTGTGGGTAAAATTTTAATTATTTCAGGCATATCTCGCCTGGCTTTAGTACATCTGCATATAAACAGGCATTCAGAGGTCTAAAGAAGTATGGCTTTAGTGCATTTGCATCATTCCTCAGTGGTAGAGAGAAGTTCATTTCCATATCAATGGGTAATTACCTGGGCAACAGAGGGCTTATCAGTATCAAAGAGGGGATGGGGGAAGGCTGGTTTTGCTTCTTCCTGAGCAGAGGAGAAAGACGATCCTGGACTACAGTTTGTAAGCAATAAACAGGTTTTAAACTTTATTTCTCCCTTTGACTGATGTCGGTTTTTAGAGGTATTTTGCCCCAGGATTTCCTCTCCCCAGACTTACATACACAAATCCAGATTTGGGAGTTTAATAACAGTTATAGTGGCAGTTTATTCTAAACATGTTCAACATCACCAGAAATAAAACTGGATAACCTCCATTGGGCTTTATCTTAACTTGGGGAAAAAAAAGTATCTTCCCCAAAGTCAGTGATTAATTGTATTTCCTTCACAAAGGATATACTTTGGGATGCATATAAATAAAGTTAGGACATACAAAAGCTAGAAAGGGACATCTTATGCTACTCTAATTAGGCCCTTATCTGAGCACCTGCCATCCACAAAAAGACAGGTCACCGTGATCATCAAATATAAAAATAACATTTATATAATACTTTTCATTTACATATCACATTTCACACATAATAATTCATTTAATCCTTGATCAACCAAGGAGGTCAGTAACATTATTATTCTATGCTACAGTCATGGCATGTAATGTGCTAGTGAATCTTGGAGTAGAATTCTACACAGAGGCCATTCTGCCCTGGTGCCTCGTTTAAAACACCGAGTCCTGGGATGTTACCTAGCCCACCCAAGGTCACCCAGCTGAACCGCAGGATTGGGCCTGTACCCAGATCTCCCGGCTCTTCCCACTACAGTGTACTTGCTGCCTCAGGACCACCTGAAGGTACCCAAAATAGAGGGGAGGGCAGAGACCCCAGACCTAAGAGACCTCGCCTGGAATCCTGGCTTCACCACTGAGGGCTATATGACCTGGGACAAACTGCTTCATCAATCCAAGCTTCCGTTTCCTTACTTCTAAAACAGGAATAATAATAAACAACCCCCCAGAGTTGGTGCAAGTATTAAATGAGATTAAATACATAAGTTATTTGCTCAGAGTATGAGGTTGGAGTTTTTAGGTTCCTGGAAAACATGACAAAGGCACTATTACAGTTGGGGTGACCATCTGAGCTGCAGACTGTGCTTCTGGCCCATCACTTCTGGCCGAGGCTGGCAGGGTGTTTAGTCTCTGCATGAGCAGTTAATTTCTAAACCAATGTCAGAAATTCTTTCATTTTGCAGTTCTTAAGCAGAAAATGTCTGTTCAACACCGTTTAGAAATGCCAAAACAATAGTAATAGCTAATACTTACCTAACTCCTACTTATGTGCCAGACACTGTTCTAAGCACCTTAAATGTATTTAATCCTCACAAAAACCCTGTAAGATAGTTCAAAGGTAAAAAAGTCAGTAAATCTGACATTTTAAAAAGAGGTATTTAGGTCAACATCAGAATTAGCTCTTCAGTACATATTTGGTCCTAAAGAAATACTTGGAGGTTTTGGATGAGAATTAAATAAAAAGAAAAAAAGAAAACAGAAAAAAAAGAATTAAATTAAGAGTATGAATGGTGCCCATTCCAATTCAATTCAAGGCAATCTTTCAATCTTCCACTCTGCTGCCTGCTTAAAACATCATTTTCCCTCCATGGGTCCAACTACGTTAATACTGACTTTTTTTTTAATGCCTTATTATGGAAAATTTCAAACATATATAGAGGTTGCAAGAATAATATACTAGATGTCCATGTACCCATTACTCAGCTTCAAAAAACTATACTTTTTAATGACTTTTTTTTCATCCCTCCCCATAGTCCTTGGTGAAGACTTTCTTTAACAGGTACTGTGTACAGACACAGTCACTGTAGGAAACCTCCTCCTCACCACCCTCTACTAAAAAACAGTTCAATATTCAAATGTCTAGTCTTTTTATTCTAAGTCTGTTCCCCAACATAGGACATCAGCCTACTCATTTTCTTCTTCCTGGCTGATATTTGCATGTGGTTGAGTAAGTGTCCGTGGGCTTCAAACATTCTAACAAATTCACCAGAGATTAGAGTTAAAGAAATTTCAGAGGTACTCCAGTCAAAATCTTTTTCTTGGCAGAAGGGGAAACTGAGACCCATGTTCTGACCTGTCCAAGGTCCAAAAAATACAAGAAATGAAGACTAGGACATGTGGGAAGTGAGCTTCTACAGTCCACACACTTTCCACTAATCCTACCCATTAGCACCACATCTCTGAGGGCCACAACATTCTTTCCAGATCTCCCCAGGCAGCATTAATCTGTCTCAGATACATTTTCGGTCTCTATCACTTAACACCTCCTGATTTTAAATTCCTTGAGGCCAAAACCAAAACCAAACCTCAATCTTCCCAGACCAGAGCTCCCTAGGGGACTTCAGGTTAGCTCTCCTTTATCCATTCTCCAGCAAAAAGGACTCCAAGCCTATCAAGGCTTCCTATTTTCCTCCCTCTCCTTACAATCTCTGGCCGCCACGTTGCTTGAGGCAAAAGGATGGGGTATAAACACAGAATGGGAAATCAGAAAAACTGAGTTTGTGTCCTGGCGGCTAGGTCTGTTCTCTGAGACCTTGAACACATCTCCCTTTTCCAGGGACTACTTTTGCCCATCTGTAAAATGGGCAGGCTGAACTAACCTCGTGGATCATGTCTCCTCTCCCGGCTCCCCTTTCCCGCCAGCGCTAAGCTGGGCCTCGGCCTCTCGCACAGTCCCCGCAGCCCGGGTTGGGTCCGCCCCACTCCCCAGGCTGCATCTTTACCTCCCACTCCCAGGTTGACCTTGCGCGGATCCGGATCCTCCCTGAAGTCTGCAGTGAGCTTAAAGACAAGGACCGGCTGGGCCTGCGGAACCTCGGCAAAGACTGACGGAGGCGCCATAGCGAGAGAGCACAAATCGGCTGGCAGCTTCCAACCTGTCCCCCGAGCCGGCCGGTCCCGTGTCACCGTGGCTGCTGGAGGAGACTCTCACCTTCACTAAGCCTGCAGGGGCGGGCCCGCGGCCACCAATGGCATGGCTGCGTCCGGAGCTTGGCAACGCTGTTAACCAATCGCGAGACTCTGACGTAAAAAGGACAGGAGGAATGCTGTTAGCCAATCCAAGAAGAGAATCTTTTCGAAGGCCGGTAATGATGCAACCAATGCAAGGTAGGCCAGCTGAGGTAGGGGCGGGGGTTAGGGTTGATTGGCAGAGCGGGCTCCTATTGCTGAGGTCGTTATTCCTTGGGTCTCCCGGGGCTGAGGGGAGGAGCCGGGCGGCGGGTGTGCCCAGTAGGCGGCCTCCTCGACCTTCGAGAGCTACGAAAGGAGGGGGAGGTGGCCGGTGGGAGTTTCGTAGCACCAGCCTTCCGGTACCCGCGGAGCAGGTATTCTCGCTGCCAGGTCCGCAGCGCACACGTTTCTGACCCTGCCTGGTCCGGCGCGGGCTGGCAGCCAAGTCCCAGCGTCCGCGTCGGAGACGCGAGTCCTCACCCAGGACTCGCGCAGGCGACCTTGACCCTCTCGGCCAGCAGTTTCCCGCTAAGGGAAATGTGGGCCGCCCAACTCGGTCTCAGACAGGGGACGTCCCACTCACAGTGACGGAGCTAATCAGGAATTCCTTTCTGCCACTCTAAACAACTTGAGATTTTTGCTCCCCTTTCCTTGCAGAGAGCGTCTGATCCTCAAGGGGGCTGGTTCTGCCCCTTACTAATTTGAGTAGGTTTAGTCAAGTTACTCTCTGTGTGACTGCTCTGTAAAGTGGAGATAGGAATATTTTCCTCGGGGTTGTGGGAGTTATGTGAGGTAATATATATAAAGTGTCTGGATGCATATATTAAGCGTTCCCTAAATGTCAGCTTTGTTATTGCACATCTGCCACACCCATTGTAGATCGTAAGGTGCTTGTTGGCTAGAGAACTCACCCTGTATAAGCCCCCTCAGTCTCTCGCCCTTAGTAAGTATTCAATAATGGTGAAAGGAAGAGTCAATTCTCTTGGTGTTTTAGGAGAAAACAGTGCTGCAGCCTCTATTCATCGGATAATATGACAAATCTTAAAACGAGTTTCCATTCAAAGTAATGAACACAGGCCAAAAGAACTCTGTGCAACACCTACCAACCTTTGTATCACCAGTTTCTTTTCAGAAATTTTGCCTGGTTTTAAAGGTAACTGTGCAGTGTTTCATTAACCACATGTTCCTCCAAGATTGCAAGTTCAACATGAAGTGCTTCCAAAAGCAGAGGCAGAGGGCAACTGCTGAGAGGGTTGTTCTACGGTGCAGCCTTCCCAGAGTTTCACTGAAAATTATGATGTTCACAGGGTTGACTGACAATATCATGGCCGCTCGTTACATCATTCCATGGGGGAGAAACAACCCTAAGGTTACCTAAACACTGTGAACTTAGCTAAGTCCAAATAGTTGTTGACAACCTAAGCAGCCAAGTCAGTCCTGAAAAGGGCAAAGGAAGTGCCATGTGCAGTTTTTCATCGGGTCTCCGTAATACCTCTTAGGAACTTTAGAAAGGACTAAATAGTAACTGGGTGTGTGGTGGGCAAGGAGGAGGACTATATATTATGTGGGATCCAAGTCTCAAACTTTTTCCTTGGGACTATGAGGTTATTGGAGATTAAGTTCAGTACCCTTCTGTCTTGAGCCCTGCAGGCTGCCCCTCTAAATAAAATGCCAATCTTGAAATAAACAAAATGCTTCCCAGGCCATTGCTAATTTTAACACTTTGACTTGGAATTAATGCAACACTGCCTTCCTGCTGAATGGATAAACCAAGCAAAAGACTTTTAAGAGGCAAACACTGCCCAGACAAGTAGGCAGCCAGGAACAGAGAGTGTCCAGGGAGAGGGCAATAAAGGTCAAAAGAAAGGATTGGCATTCTCCCTACCTCCTGACTGCTATGACTGTCTCTTCAAGCGTCCTCCCTGCCATCTCCCTTCTGCCTTTTTTTGTTTGTTTGTTTTCTTCTCTTGAAAAGAATTGGAAGGGAGGAACTGAAACTCACACAGCAGCAGCTTTATCTGGAATGAACTCCTTTAGAATATACTGTTTTGGAAATCTGAAGCTTTCAGGGTTGGGCTGCACTTCCCCACAGTGTAAGAGTCAGGCAAGACCAGGGCAAAAGTAGGAACTGCATGGACCTCTGAGAAAATCCACTCCTGCTTATTGTGTTCAGTCTTGGCCCTGATACCCAGAAGGTCTAAATTTAAGAATTAAGTCAAGGGGGAGGAGTTTTTCACACTTTTTACTCAAGCTCAAAGTGCCTTGGGTTTTATTTGAGTGTATGCTGTTATAGGGCAGGGTATTATTTAGAAGCTGAGTTGTGTGCTAAACAACTGTTTTCTTAAAAACCAAAACCCTAAGGGGAGTTTTGTTCGAGTCATTGTATGGCTAAATAGTGAGCAATAATTGTAGAGCCCCTAAGGTGCAGTTTTTCACTGTATTGAGTTACTCTTGCTAAGGAAAGCGATCACTTATCACCCTCTCCCCTCAGATTAACTGGCTTGTTTCCTGGGTTTGCCTTGCTGAACCACCTACCCTTGTTTCTCTTCCCTCGCTTCTCTCTCCTCCCTTATGTATGACTCCTCTCCCCACCCGCACGTGGATTAGACCAAGTGAGAGTCCCTTGCTGCTCCCAGTCTCATAGAAGTCATGTCCAATGAGGCCTGGAGCAGAAAGGGTCTAATGTTAGTTCCTGAACTGGGCACCCACATGGGCAGAACTTTTATATAGCTGCTGAGACCTTTGTATAAAAGAGAAGTCAACAAAATGACAATTGATATTTTTATCTACAAGTTGAATGTAGTTAAGTTCTAGGGCACCATTTGGAAACTGTTGTGCTATATAGGGTCTTGTACTTAAGCTGTATAGCATAATGGTTAAAAGCAGAGCCTCTGGATCTAGATACCCTTTGTATGCCTCAATTTCCTCATCTGTACATGTGGATAATAGTAGTTCTACCTTCTGGAGTTGCTGTGAAGTTAAATGATTTAACATAAAATGCTTTGAATTGCACCAGACACTTAGTAAGTACTCAGTATGTTAGCTAGCATCAGCATCAGCATCAGCATCACAAATGTTGTTTACAAGCACTTGCCTTTGAGATTAGTTCATTCAGTGATGAGCTGCATAACACAATAATGCATAGGCTTGCACTTGTAGTCATATTCTGGTTTTGAAATTTTGAGTAAATTAATGTGTCTAGTTTTAGTATTCTATCTGTAAAGTGGGATCAAAAGATTTTTGCTTAGTGTCGATACATGCACACCTTTAACACAGTTGTAATAATTATTGTCATAAAGATTACACTTTAGTCTCTGAGTAGCTGTAGAGTAATGGGTAGGCTAACTCTTTTTGAAGTCTGTCCTGGCCTCTTGCAGGCATATACTCTGAAATTTTTTTAAATGGAAAAGAAAACATAGAACACAATTTTAAAAATATTTAGTTTTCCAAGAAAGCTTTTTAGAGATCTGTAAAATCTCAAAGCAGCTTTCTTGTGAATGGATTAATCTATTTTTTTATTGTATTATGGTGTAGTCGATATACAATATACAGTATTATATATTAGTTTCAGGTATACAACCTACTGATTTGAAAATTGTATACATTACAAAATGCTCACCATGGTAAGTGTAGTTACCATCTGTCAGCATACAAAGTTATTACAATATTATTGACTATACTCCCTATGCTGTAAAAGCAATTGAAAGGTAACAAGACAACATATCTAAAACTAACTAAAATGTTAATTATATTAATGAGAACCCTTTGTATTTCTATATTGTATTTCTATATTTTAGAAACACTATTCCACTCTCTTTCAACTTTCCCAGGTGACTGTCATCTGCTGTCAGAGAAACACAAAGGAAGTGGATCACATTAGCAAAAACCAAATGAAGATGCTCCAAATGACAAAAGAACTGGAAGGCTACAGACCTTAAGGTCAGAATAAATTTCTTCTCCTTGCCCTGTTTCTTCTAAATGCATCACAGTTACAGCCTCTAGCTTCTAAAGCAATGTCTTATGCTTTTCCCCCTCAAATTGTGATGTTCTTTTTTGTTGGGTCACGTCCAAAAGTCCTGTGCTTTGGTACAAGATGAAGGCAGAGGAAGATATAATGAAGGAAATAAATTCTTGTGTTCTCCAAGACCACATTTCTTTTAAACACTTGGAGGGACAGTCTAAAACACAGTAATGGATCATTGTACTCCACAGGGCCGAGACGATGTTGAGTGTATTGCGAACATTTCAGCATCCAGCAGTAGAGGGCAGCACCGCTCTGCTTTTGCAAAATGAGTGCCTGTAAGAAAATCAAAGCAAAGCTCTTGACTACTGTGTCTGTGTTTACTTTTACCTAATACTTAAAAAAATTTTAGTATTTTTCTTATTGTTTAGGTGATCACGTAGAAAGAACGTCAGAGCCTGTACTGCCTTGAAGTAATTGGTGAAAAATGCAGAAGGTTGTAGGTCCTCTGCTCAGGATATGTGTTCTGTCGAGCAAAGATAAACAGTAGCTTGACCCTGGACAATCAGATAGGGTTGTTGTATGAACAGACCTCCTGTACTTTCTGGGTAGAAGTCAATCTACTGAACTAGCAGGATGTGGTTTAAAAAATGTGTATAACTCATATGCTCTTAGCCCTGATAACTGCTTGAAATTCTAATTCACTGACTTTATGCCGCTGTGTTAGTTTTCCTGTCACACCTGGGTCAGATCAGACTTATCTCAACTATACTGCATGTATTAAGACTTTAAAGAATGATGTTAGACATGATGAGTAAGGAATGTCTTTCATGAGACTGCAGTTGGCTAAAGGACTGTGTGTGTATATATAGTGAAACTGAAGACTTCCATGCCAATCCTCCTTCTACTGCAGTATGATTTGAGTTTCTCTATCCAGTAAGGAACAAGAAAAAATTATGTTATTTTGTGCTGGGAGTTACTTTATGCTCTTTGGCAGAATGACAGAGGAGAGAGAAGAATCCTAATTTTAGCAAATACATAGGCACAGTATCCCTAGCACACTTAGATACTGCTCTAATGCTTTAAACTTTTTTGGTAGCAAATCTTCAATGCCAATTTAAATAAATCCTACCAGACATAAGAGCTGGCAGATGCTAAGTCCAGTTCCCAGCTCTGCTATGTGAACTTGGGAAAATTACAACCTCTGAACCTTTGTTTCCTCATCTGTTAAGTGGAGATAATGCCTCCTAGATCTAATAAAAGGATCAACTTAGAAAACATGTATTAAAGTGTTTTGAAAGCCATTTAAGTACCTAACAAATATTTCCATCCCAAGGAGATTCCTGCATTTTCTAAACTTTGGGACTTTACATCTCTTCTCATCATTTGGTGTCATTATATGGCCTGAGATTGTTCATTTTCATATGTACTTAAGTTTTTCCTCCAGTTTGATTGCTTTTTAGTTCCTTGAGAGCTGAAACATCAATTATATTTTCTGTTATCTTCCAAAACAAGAAGATATTTGGTACAAAATAGATACTCAAATATATGTTGCTTGGTTAAAAACACAAACTACAATGAAGACTCAAGTTAACTCTTTTTATTTAACTGTGGTGAAAAATATATAACATAAAATTTACCATCTTAACTATTCTAAAGTATATAGCACAATCATGTTTACTATGTGCACATTGTTGTACAACAAATCTCTAGAACATTTTCATCCAGAATTAATTCTTAATACTATCTTCTGCATCACATAGTTTCCAAAGTGCTTCTTTACTGATCGGGCAAAAACAGGAAAAAATGTATAGGACTTTCACTCCATAGCTAGGAATGTATGGAACAAGGTAACCAAAAGACTTCTGTTATGTTTTAAATTCCTACTCCCTTTATAGAGGTTCTACCCTAGTCTCTAACCTGTAGATCAGCAATTTTCTATAAACCTTGGAATATATGCCAAAAGTAGGAGACGCCTCTGTAAAGAGCTTTCACAAGTAATTTATATCTAGCATATAATTAAGTACTTAGATGAAGAAAACTATCAGGTTAAAGTATAAACTCACTTGCCATTATTTGATTTGCAGAACATCTGACTTTTTTTAATTTCTGAAAATAACAGTATTATTTTCAATCATTATTGCTACCCCAGTAGCAGTTTTATTTAGCTGGTATGTAAGAGGACCAGAGTATAGAGGGACACCGTCCCAGAGAAAGACCCTGATTAAACTATAGGTATCTGGAACTTCTCTTAGAATACCAAGGCAGTATTTGACTCTCAATATGTGCTTTTAGAAGCAATACACCTTTTCAAGCACAAAACTTCATCTTATGTCATGACTGTCAATTATCGTGTCAAATTCATTGACAATAAAAATTTGGTTTTCTCCTTTGCACCAAGCAAAAATAAACAGAAATAAACTCTAGATGGATTTGGATTTAAACATTTTAAACTATAAACAAAATAGGGGAAATAAAAGAAGTTTTTGAAACAGTATGAGTGTGGGATAGACTTTCCCAATCATTGACACAATCTCAGAAGCCATAAAGAAAAAAATTGATTTTGTATGGTGATAAATACCATAAGTAAAGTTTGATGACTTGGAAAAAATATTTGGAGCATGCTTATCAGTCACGTCTATCATATAATCAGAACTTCATTGTATTGATAGGAACATAAACTAAGGATATAAAGAAATAAATAAGGAGAAAATAAATACAAATGGAGAATATACCAAAACTCATCCTCATTATTAAATTGAAACCTCACCAATTTATCTAGTTTTGCCCATCAGACTGAAAATTTTAAATATTGAAAAACAGGGTTAAAACTGCAGTGAAAAAGGCACTTGCATGTACAATGGTAAGAGTATCAGTCATTAAGACCTTCTTTTAGAGTGCATTTTGACAATATCAGTCAAAATTAAAAGGTACATGCAATTTTGCCAAGCAATTTCCCCTCTAGGAATCCATCCTAAAGACATTCATACAAGTCTGAAAAGATAGATAGGTCTAGTGGTACACTGTTATGCATCATAGCATTGCTTTCATAGTATGTGATGACAAATGTTGGAATTTTATAACCTAAAAACTCAAGTTTTTATTGAAGAAATAAGATTTGGAAGAGATTTCACAAGAACACAGAATTAAGAAAGTCTCTACAAATGGTAAGTGGAACAGAGAAAAAAAATAGTTCTCCAAAGCATTATAGATGTCAGTAATTAAAAACTTCAGGAGTTATGAGAAACTGTTTTTTCAAAAAGCATAAGGTGGTATGCTATCATTTAGAGCTGATCTGAAAATGAAGGGAGATATTGAAAGTAACTTTTTATAAAGTAGTGATTTTTTAAAATACGCATTTCAAGATGCTGTATCCCAAGACGTAAAACAATTCCTGACATCTAGTAGGCAATACATATTAGCTGAAGGAATGAATGAGGATGATACCTCCATCAGGGTTGTAATAAGAATTGATGCAAAACTGCATAAGGATGAGTGCTTGATACATAGTAAGTGTTTGGTAGATACTAGTTCACTACTTTCCTAGGGGCCTGTTGGTACTTAATACCTGCCTAGCACATGTCAGGACTTTGAGAAAACCATGTACATAGTGTTTATTATATGCCATGTACTGTTCTAAGTGCTTTACAAACACTAACTCGGTCAGATTACAACATTTAAAGTAGGGGGTCTTATTATCCCATTTGACAGATGAGGCCATTGAGGCAAAAAGCAATTGAGCAACTTGCCCAAGATGACACAGCTAGCCAACAATGGCAATATGAACGCGGACAGTCTGCCCCTACTCCGCTGTGCCATTTTGCCTCTCATATGATAAAAATGTATTGAATGAAAGAATGAATGTTATTTTGAAAGAATAAATGAATTGTGATTTTATTCCAGAGAGCTCAGAATATTTTATATCAAATCATCCCTGAAAATCAATTCACAACGTCCCTTTGAGGTAGAGCATATTTTTAAGATGTTTTTAATGTATTGCTTACTGTGTTTAAAAAGATCATGGCAGGTTCTTATTCCTGTTATGAATAGCACTGTATTTGCTTTCTGACATCAGATTAATTGCCATACAACCGTTCTCTAAGTTCTGAGCAGAGAAACATCCTGCTCTAGAAATCAAAGAGGCATAAAGGCTTACAGAGAAGAATTACATAACAATGTCAAAATTATTTAAAGGGTTAAAGTGTTATGTGTGAGTTTTACTCCCACATGGCTAAAGCAATGGCTCTCCAAATTTACCAACCAGGAATTTTTCTTCTGTAGCTAAGCTTTGTAGACTTCTTAAGAGCTTTTTTTGTTGTTTTGGTTTTAGTTTTAGTTTTAGTTTAACCTTAGTTTAACTTCATCTCATAACATAATAACAGTGTTTCTTTTTCTTCATGATTTATTTGTACATTTATTCATTCAATTAATCTGCATGTACTATGTGCCAGGCCTTGCAATAGTTGTTAAGGATAACATGGAAAACAAAAAGACAAAGTTCTTCTCCTCACAGATTTTCTAATCTAATGGGAAAGACAGATAATAAGAGCATTGCATAAATAAAATTACTAAAATTACAGTCATGGTAAGCACTGTGTATCTTCCTGGAAAAGGCACATGAAAGCAGGTAATAGGGGGAATTCATCTAGTTGAGGCCAGTTCTTTCCCACTCAGAATGTTCCTTCCATCATGGATAGCATTTTACTTCTAATTTCTACCCCAGCAGCCCCTCCCATACCCTATAGTTGGCACATATAAATCTAAAATTTCTGAACTCCATTTTGCCAGGCAGCGTTTTCAAGAGAAAATGGCCCAATAAATAATACTTTTAATTTATGATTCCATTATTTCTTTTATCTTTTGTTCCAAAGATAAAAACACAAGATTATTTTTAAAATCTAATTTCCATTTGTAAGATACAAATTTTTTATCTTTGTGATTCAGCTGTGAAATGTGAAACAAGTAAGAAATTTACTTT